GGGCAGATAGGGCAGTAAGAGGAAGCATTCATCCGGTATACGTCCCCGTAGTCAAGTCGTCAAAAAAAGAAAAAAACAAAAGGGGGTCTATTTCCGCACGTATCTCGGGGCAAACGGAATCCCGAGCGCAGTGATAAAAGGTTGAAACAATAAGAGCTGCATACAGATGCGTCACATGAAAAAACCATCTGAAACGCTGAAAGCGGATAATTTGCCAGTCAGTCAGAATACGCCCTAACAGAACTCGTGACACAGGTGGCTTTACAGCGTTTCTCTACGCATTGTTTCAAGCGCCCCCACCTTCTGCAGCCGTTTGTCGAATCGGATAGAATTATTGACAGCCTTAACCAGATTCCATGCAAGCAGTCTGCAAAAGTGATCTCAATGTTGTTTGGCCGTTTGAGGTTTGCAATCTAGCAGCGTTGATAGGCAGATACAGACTGTGGCTTCTCCACACATTTTGTTTCCCAATGTGTCCTGCACATAGTTACTCGCCTACACTAGCTACGATGAGTTGGGATGAAATGGATAGTTAGTCCATGGCAGCAAAGAGAGACAAACAAAGATCATCCCCCATACTTTTACATTGACGATTGGGTATCGAATCGAAAAACCGGATGTTAGCACTTCAGCTACTGCGATAAGTTATTGGTGTCTTCATCTTTTTCGAGCTATGATTCGATCAAGCGTTGGGCTTTTGCAAAAATAAGCGAGCATGGCACAGACAGTTTTGATGACGGGAGGCTGATTGGCTGTATTGCCACAAGGATTTCTCCCTGGTACAGGGGTGGCGGAGACCGCTTCGTACAGACCGCCGATGTGACCGTGGATGGAATCATGGTCTAGATTCTGGAGTCCCCTGTCGATGCAAGTGAGGTAGGTCATTGTATTCCTGCTTGGTTGTTTTACTGGCCAGCTGTCGAGCTGCAGAGTTCAGTCACGAAAAGACGGGAGGAAGAGGAAGGAGACATCAAAAAACTCCTCTGCAACAGTTGGTGTTCATTAGCATGGTTATTTGTCCCGATTATCTACCCAGCCTTGCGGTTTTGCTTCATCACTGGCGAGGATAAGCTGACCAGCCGAAATACTTGTGGACGAAAAGAAGACAGTCCCCCCCCCCCCGCCAAAAAAAAATCTGGGTATCCATTCTTATGTATTCAACCTGAGACGGGATATCACATTCAACGAGGCTACCTGCTGCCAATCTTTTGAAAGAACGGCATGGATATAGACACATACAATGCAACGAAGAGCCAACTATGGTGCAGCGCACCCAGAACGAGAGCCTAGATACTGTACCCATAGTCCCGAGCAAACGATGAGAAACGGAACATCTATTTCAGTAGTTAATGGGAGGATTTGTCAGGCGGATTAGCGAGAAGTGGAAGACAACCTATGCCTGGCATATGTTCATGTACGGAGTTCTGTACATAAATCCCACCCATCGTTTAATGCACTGCCTAACTTCTAGGTCAAGACAATTGTTTCCGCTATCCAGATGAGGAAGTTGGTTTGCTCTCTTTCATCGTACACGATGCAGTAACTAACACGAATTCCAGTAGACCACAACAGAACAGAATTAATATTGAAGATTGCTGGGCTCTAGGGACATCAAAACGTCTGAACACGATGGTGAACAACAAACACATGGATGGTGTTTGGAGCGGCGCATGTGATGTCTTCCTAGTCTATGAGTCTTTGAGAGAACTAACGGGCCCTATCTGCAAAAGTTGAGGCCGGTAAGAGCTAAGAAAGTACTGCAAGCACATTACATACGTGGTTCAGATCTGCTGGATCAAACACGGTGAAAGGATTTAATAGGCGGGCAAATGTTGCATCTCTCAATCTTGCGTGGCGACGACTATCAGCTCTATATAAGTAAGAGGCAAATAAGACAACGAAGAAATATATTATGTAGATATCAACAATAGATTTTTTTCTCTCCATTTTTCCATATTTTCCCATAAGCACTACTGGGCAATTGATCTTCTGTCAAACAGCAGCCAATCAAACCCACTTAACTTATTATAACATGAAGCAACGGTCAAGGCGGGGTGAAGAGGGGTTATCCATGTGAGAGTTCAGGAAAATTGCTTGATGTACGCTCCGGTCCAATTCCCCAAAGTCAATCTGGCCATTTCCTTTCGTTGACTCCCACTAACGTGCCGTTTGGGCTGCTATTTCCGCCCCCCTGGATGATTCCTTGGAAACCTGATAGAGACGTGGATGCCTCATCAGCTTGAAACGGGCATTGACCAGTCACGGATATTATTAGTTACACCGGCCAAACAATATAAATAGATTTAACGCTGGAGTAAATTAAGAACGTACTACTCCTTTGAGACAGCACACTATACCAGGCTGTGTCGTAATATCAAGATTGGTAAAAGAACGGTCCCGGTATAGATCTCAGGAGTCAAACTCATAACAACAATGCCAATGGTGAGGACAAAATGGCGAACATGGTCAACAAAGCTCGATATGATTCCAACTATTCAATCCGTTTTTTTTTTTTTTTTTTTTTCAGGCGGGGAAGATTGTTAAAAGCTTTATATCTTCTAAGAATTCTGCCTCCATCTCTTAAAGAAGAACAGTCCGTTGCACGGTCCGCGTCAAGCAAGCAGTGCATATAAGATCCTGCCTGTCGTCTGCCAAAGGGTAGAACCTGCAACGCATGCACAGTGTATCGAGTCGAATATCTGTTTAATGTTCGACAATCCGCCCCCACATCGTTTCGGATATATTTAGACTAAAAGAATATCCTCAGCTCTCCTCTCAATCCTATTAAGCGGATGCCGATATGCGGCTGTTTTTCCATTTTCCTGTTCTGCTGACCAGCCATCCTTACGGCTATGAAACTGGAAACAATCCCATTGTTACTGATATGGATTAGGAATGGAACAGTATACACAAAGGTAGAATACCCTTGCGGTTTTCAGAGAGTTGGGCTTCAGGAATGGTATTGTGTGAAAGCAATGAACTATTGTATATTCATGTCCGTGCATGCATGCATATCGGCGGAAGGGGGGCGTGCGTAAATGGTTCTGGAGAACAGACGTAGGAATCCCTGCAGATGAAGCAGAGAAGGACAACTTGGAAAGCTCTTCCGGACTCAAATCAGTTATAAAAGGATATTGGTATCGGCATAATTATCATAATCGGCATGGACATTGATGTTGAAGATCAGCCGAGAACGCTGTTAGGTTGCATGGATAGGGGTTTGGAGAAAAACATGATGGGAACGATTCCAGCACCTGAGGACCGAACTTGGTTGATCAGTAAGAAATAGCTTCAAGCAGGCTCAGCTATCATCGGAATCAGCTGCTGCAGCTGGTAGGATTAAAAAACAGATTAAGCAAAAGGGAAACAATTTTAGACAAATTCTACCGATACATGGTGGCATGACATGATCCGGTCCGTTAACTGACGACAACAGCGCGCTTCTGAGGCGACTTGTTTGACAGAGCTCCAAAAACCCAATGGACAAGCCAGCTGAGCTGAAGAAAGAGGAAGAGTGTAGTTCCGCATACTTGTCCTTGCCTCCAGAGTCCAGGGCTTTCAATCAGCATTTGCAGTGACCAGCAGTTTCACAACGAATGCTGAATTGATTGGTGTTCGTCGCGTCCCCTCTCTGCCCACAGAAGCCACAAAACCATGCCCTTTTGTCACAGTTGATGCACGCTAACTGTACCGTTGGAGTCTGCAAATTAAGAAGTATCCATTGACTTATGAGTTCACGCGGCCACTGACACCTGTTCAGGAAAAAACTGCAATACGGTGGGGAGGGGTTGGTAGAGAGGTGCAGCGTCGACTCGACTGTTAAAGGCGCAGATGATGAGAACCGGGCCTCCTGCTTGCATTCAATTAGGTTAAAAAGCGCATCAACCTTCTCTTCCCTGCATGCTGCAGGAAGTTATGCAGAGCAAATGGATTTGGCTTTTTCTTCTCCAGGTTTGGTTCTCTCTGGCGCTATGTAGGTGTTCTGTAGTACGCTTGCTTGTGATATCTCATAAAAAGAACTGCACAACATCCTGAAGAGGATGAAACAACGGATGAAGGCTACCTAATGTTATTGGCCCAGTCTTGCTTTTTGATGAGAGAGACACGAAGCTAACTCGACTTTAGCTCTTAACATTGAACCGCTTGTTCGACAGACCAAGTGGGCGGCAGCCCGTACACACGGACGTCGAGGACGACTCGACTGAGACGCTAGGCTCAGCATCGGCGAAGCCTAACTAGCGAGACTGGCCGGTGCGCCATGGTGTGGGAAAAAAAAATAAAATAAAAATGACAAGAACCCCACTGCAGTGCATAAAAGACGCCTGTGCAAAATACGGGATCTGGATAGATCGACCGACATATCGGACTCAGGAAAAAGGAATATGAAAAATTTAAAGCGAGCGTCTCCACTAACGTCTCCTCGCCAGCCTTGTTCCCGCTATTATTACTGGTGACCTTTGGGGATAATGATGTGTGAGTGGGTGAGAATGGCCTAATTTGGTCAAATAGATATGGGTGATTGGGATGAACCCAGCACAGCCAAGTTCAGGTGTGTATGCGAGATTTATGCGGTTAACTTTGGTAGATATAATTTCATGGAATGGGGGATCTATGCACCAAACCGCTTTGCAATCCAGGTGCATGAGGAATTGAGAGTCCAAAGGGTGTTTATATAACGGGAATTATCTGAGCATTTACTTTTTTGCTAATGAGCCTGAGCAGCGCCTATGAGGAATCAGTCAACGTGTCTCGGGGGGGATCACTAACCCTTGGAGCATGCCTCCTTAGCTGCATACCGTCTACGCCGGCAGCGAACAGCTCGAATCACGAGACGGTGCATTTATAACTCGAATTCCGTGGCATTTATTTAACAGTCCGTGCATCCCTTATGGTGTAGGCAATTATTTACTAGTTGGCTGAATCGGTGCCAGACCAAATGTCCATTATTATTATTAATTAAGAGGAACGTTAAGACTCAAGTTCGTCATCGGAGCAAGCTCCCAGCTACTACTAACTAATTAGTAGTTTCGGAAGGATTCCTTGGAACTCATAAGGTTTCGATACCTTTCTGTTCCTGCATCTTCTGACATTGCTAGCTCCGTCAGTTCTCGTTTCTGGGACAGGTTTGTGGCTGGAAAGCGATGGATACCAGGGAGAAATCAGAATCCTGGGGATAGTGACAAGCTGATCGATGCTGAATTTGATCAAGAGGGATTGCACCGACGTTTGCCAGGAGACATGGCCCGTTTCTGGCGATTAAAAAAACGAGCGCCTTTCTATTGGTAGGTGACCAAGTATCTTTGATGATATTTTTTTTGATGGCGCTTACACAACGGATACCGTACCGCTATTTGGGCAGCATACGGAATTATCCTTATCAAGGTCATCAGACAAGGAAAGATATGGCAGCATTGTTTTAAAGCAGCACTGGCTTCATGCTCCACCCAAAGAAAGACGCCCCCGGTGGCGAGCAGAGCATGATAGGAAACATGGATAGATAGCGCGACCCTACGTCATCCATATGTTCCATGGATACGGTTCCGTGGGTGGTGCTTTCATTGGTTATATCCTTTGCAGTCGGCTTCCGGGTTAGAAGAGGAGCTGTGCGAAAACCCAGCGGCATCTGACGGCCCAGGCGAAATTTACGTGGGAAATTTTTACCCCGAGATTAGTGTCTGACGGAGGGAGAGAGAGGGGAGGGGGGGGGGAGGGAAGAAAAAGGGGAGGTATCTAAGGACGGATATAGGTCCTTATGTAGCTAGTTACCAACAAACAATAAGGACCCCCTGTTCTCCAATAGTATTATACCTAGATGTTGCTAGGTTAGTTGAAAATTCTATTGAGCCCGTGAAGAAAGGTCTAAGGCAGGGTAGATTAAAAACGTACCGAATGAACACGTATATATAATAATAATACATATATGCCCGCCCTCGGTAGGTAACCCAATAGGTAGTTAGTAGATATTATTCAGCTAATTGGATATGGGGGGTTCTACTGGTTCGGTACGATTTGCTCCGCTAGAGCGGTTTTCTTATTTTCCCTGATGATCTTATCGTGGCTTTTTTGGGCGGAACTATGTATTCACCACATTGACTATGTATGTCCAGGACATAGTTGATTGAAATATCTGGGCGGGTTCCCTGTCATTCATTTTAGGGTCTTGCAGGGGCGGAAAGTGTATCAGCAAAGTAAGGGAAATTAAGAATAAGAGTAAAAGTAAGCGTACTGCATAGTTAGAGTAAGGCTAAAATATGAAGAAGAGTCTTAGATCATTTGATTAGGTTGTTTTTACATCAATTATTAGCTTTCGAGCTGTAGTTCAACGGCTGAAGTAATATAAGTATGGGACACATTCTCCGTATACTCCCGCAGAGTTAACCTTAATACTTCAACAGAACGGGAACAATGTGGGGTGAGCTCGAGAGCCGTAGCTAACTACGGTATTCATCTATTCATGGAAGTATACAGCTCCGCACTTTACACGGCGCTTTGGTCCATGGCGAATAGATACAAAAAACAAAAAACAAAACAAAAACAAAAATTTGAAGAGGGGGAAAGGACATATATAACTATGCAGGCCGGGTACTTATTCATTCCTTCAACGTGCAGTAATTCTCGAATCGACCCTCCTTACTTGTTGCTAATGTTCCCGGATATAGAACAGCATTTGTCTGCCTAGATCCTGGTCAAAATACCCCATGCGGTAACCTCCTTCTGCGCGGAGCAGGATGCTACTATGTCGATAGATACAAAACATGTGTGATCAGTACATTTTCGTGGACGGACCATTGAATAGCTGGTGGTGTATCATTTTGGATTCCCAGGCGTATTCATGCACATGACTAGGATACCGTAGAATAGTTAGCCAACTCCAAAGCTAATCTGCGAATTAGCCAGAGACGGGGGGGGGGCTTTCAAATGAAGCTTGAACTATTTTTCCTTTCTCAACCTGCCTCATCCACAAGGCGCCCAATCCCAACAGACCGGGACCTTTCCCAGCCACTCCGTACACAGTGTGAAAGTGAACAGCTTGAACTGGGAAGGGCTTTCAAAGAAGTTTAAAATAATTAGACTTATATACTGGCTGAAGGGTGAGAAAATGATACCCATCCCGAATTTCAAAGAGTCTGAAGAATAGTGCAAGTTCCGGACCAATAGTAGATGCGGGATAAGAACCGATGGGGCCATTAAGTCAAAGCGGTTCACCAATATAATCATGGGCATTCCCGTAAATTAAAGGAATTTCCTTCCGTTGTTTGGTAATATAGCGAAACTAATATTCATTTCAATATCTTGAACATTTAAATCTTAAAACAAATTCTTAGCTTTTCCAGCAAGTTGGAGCGATGGAGGGCGATTGGAATGAGGATGAACCTTCCAGACGTATCTATTTCTTTTCAATCGGGTAGGTTATTTGTCATGTCTGGACAATTCATTCACATGTATGAGTGCCTTACCTAGGTACTCACGTATATTGGGGCATATTCGAGGAATATCACAGCTTATTATTCAGCGTTTCCAAGCCAGGTTCTGGGTCGATATGGATTCGATGGTCCATGCATGATGGCGTAAATTATGGACCGTATGCATGGAAAAGGCCATAGCAACTTGGGTAGTTATCTCAATCGAATCACAATGCATCGCATCCACCGTAGCGGCTGTTTTGATTATTATTCCCTGCCTGCCTGGCTGTCTGGCTGCCAGCATGATCATCTGTGTGTGCCGTGCTGCATGGACCAAAAGCCACGGGATCTTTTGGATGGAAGAAACTGCCCAATGACGATTCTGACGAAGGGGCAGAGGATTGCATTGAGCTGACCCTCTGGCATGGGCTAGATGGGTGAATAGAACCATGATGTAAAAATCGGGCTCAGTGACTCCAGTCCCAACCCAAACCTCCGTTGATTTCAGGCTTCGTTTTTCATTTTTTTTTTTTTCGCTTTCGCTTTCTTGTCACCGGCCCCTCTTGCTTTCATTCATCCATTTTTCTTTCATCCATTTTTCCGAGTGTTTCATTGTTGGAGAGTGCGCATGGGTAAGTGGATCGGATGTGTGGACCTGTCAACAGCAAGGTCATCGGAGCATCATCGTCCAACATGTTTAATTATAGGATGGAGGATTTGAGGGGGGATGCACACGACCAATTAGAGCTATTTATGCGGACATATATAGGGAGTACGAAGAGCTCTGTAATGACATCACCATTTCATTCAGCAGTAATGTTCTCAATCTGTCCTGGTTAGCATGAGTGAATTTCTAGAAAACTTTTAGCTAGCCCAGGAACCATTTGTAAAATGCCGCAGTCAACTGCTCTCTCGTCTCTTGTGCGGTGTTTTGCCTGCACCCAACTCCCGCTAAGAATTATTCAACAAAGTTGGCTGAAGCCAATCCATCTCGATCAGCTCTTTTCATGTGTTAATTACTCCATAGGAGCCTTTCATTCCGTTCTTGAAGTTTCTTCTTCCCGATCTCTTGGCTCAGCCGAGTCGAGTATAGTTTGAATCGCCTAAACCCTGGGACTCTCCATCTTGTCTTTTCTGCTGTTGGTTGACCGAAGATCCCTAGTTCCTCTCCTTGCTGATTGTGCGTAGTTTGTCGCTGAAGGATTTCGATTTTTTTCTCTCCTGCCAGAGGTTAGCGAATGGATTAGCGAGGAGGTGTAATATATCAGTTTACTTTATTATCCGTCCCAAAAAATTTTCATATGTTTTCTTCGGCTTTCTTTGCCCTCTCATCGATGATACTATGTATGATTGGGATATCTCTGATGTGCAGAGGGATCAAAGGAGGTACCGTCCCGAAGCGAGGAGTAAGGGGTGGAACCCATGTCACGTAATTGGCAGTTCGAACAAAGGAAGACCACACAGAGAAAAATTGTATGTAGGATGTGAATACGGGGTATACATGCAACATCCAGACAACACTCTCATCCAGAAAACAATAGCTATCACATAACGGAACACGAATACGCCGGGTAAACTATATCCCATCCACATAAACAACAAGAAACAAATATAGAAAACAAAATAAATCAAATCACAACGAGTGATAAGACCCGGGGGGGGGAGGGAACACATTCCCCTGCCCATAGTCACCCATAGAGACATCCACCATACCAGTACGCTGAGTCACTCATGGAGAATAATAAAGTGGAAATTTTATCCTATTCCGATGCTCTGTCTTCCGGGTCGGGAACCTCCGCGTCGTCTTCTGCTACCGCCACACGGGGTGGTGAAGTATCGTGTTTCCAACATCAACTAAAACAACAGCAATTGACCAACAATTGACCATAGCCAGTTCCGCTCTTGTTATTAAGTTTCTTCCCCCGAACCGCTGCTCTCCGTCAACGATAGGTTTCTTAACGTAGATATTTATCTCCTAGCTCTATCCGCTGTTCGTTTATTAGACTCTTTTTTTTTTTTTTATTCTGACCTATACTTTTAATAGTGATCGACCGTGACCCTGGGGCCAAAAGCAACCCCGTGAAGTGGATCAGGCAAGCAAGCAAAAGGAAATTATACTTTAAAAACTGCTGCTTGTTCACCACAAAGTTTACGCCGTCTTCTTTTTTTGTTATTTTAAAATTTTGGCTTTTTCGTTCGCAGCGATCGTTCCCCCTGGGAAGTCTGGATCCAGATCATGCCCGCGGCCCCGCGTTGACTGGTCGTCTCCCTGGCTCTAGTTGACGAGCTATCACAATTGAGTTTTACAACAGTTCCGTTTCCTGGTTTCAAGGGCTGCCAAACCGTTTTCTTGTGTAAGACTCTGAAAACAGGGGAATCTCTATGAGAGAGAAAGAAAAGAAAAGAAAAAAGCTCAAACAAGCCCCAATATTATTCTTTACTTTGCGTGTTTTGAAAGGCTTTTTTAACTTTCCATCGTTCTTCTGCTACATCGAACGATAAACTTTCTTACTCGCGTGCGATTGACTGATTCTTTTCCCTTCTATCTTTCTTTTCTTTTTTAGACTCCCTGCTGTTTGAAAGGGGGTTGAGGCGATTAAGCTTGGCTTTTCCCTTTCGTCGGGACGCTTCATCGTCATCGTCTTCAGGAATCAACAATCATACCATACGGGATCAATTCGTGCCGCCTATTGGCTGTCGGAAATACCCATCCTGAAGATGCTAATTAATTGTTCAATTCGCAACAGGAAAGGTACGGTATTTTATTTTGCTTTTTCAACCCTATTTTTGTTTACTATGTATGTTTCTTTCCGTGTGCACCCCCGGCCCAAGGAGGTTCTCTCTACTTATGACTGATATTGCAGGTTTTTAGACCGCCAGTGTTAGAAGAGAAAGGGGAAACGCCCAGGGGAATAAAGAGCCTCTAATAAAATCCACGCCCCAGCGAATAGCGAGAGAAACAAGGCATAAACCTCCCATAGGAGCCCAAGAAAGTCATTTCCGTCAGCAGGTCTCAGCTAAACTGCTAAGGTGCAGGAGGCGTCTGGTTATATATATCCATTGCACCAATATATTTGTATGATTTTTCACACTTTTCGTTTCTTTTACTTTTACCGTTGTTAAACAAGCCTCAAGCCCACCTTCATCCACCAACATATCTTTTCCAAAGAAGACTATTATTTCTTACCTTATTCTTATTTATTTTCAACCTTCTTACCACCGCCCCCAACCCCCCCCCCCCCCCCTTCCTGCTGCAGAAGCTTGGAAGCTGGAACACATACATTTCGACCAGCAAAAATAAGACTACGCTATGGTGATTTTCTGAGCCCCTTGACTTGTTCGCTTTTTAGGTAACTAGATTCCTAGCTTGACTTTATTCTTCCCAATCTCCTCTTGGGTGCAAGAGTAATATTTACGCCTATCATCCTGCCCGCTCCAGTACGTCGGGACTGAAGCTACCCAATTTTCCTTCAAAGTCTTTCCAACAGCGTTATACTATCTGTTGTCTTTTTTCCTTTTCTTTTCTTTTCTTTTCTTTTCTTTTCTTTTTTTTTTTTTTTTGCCAAACCTTCCTCCCCCCTGATCTCTTCGTATTGACTCGTGAACATCCTAAAATTCTCTCCCCCACGTGGACATCGTGTTTTCCTCCATATTAATTGCTGATATAGGCCCGTCTCGAGCAGAAACGTCACACCAATCCAGATCCCGGACCTAGTTTTATTTTTATTTTTATTTTTATTTTTGGTTTTATTTTTTATTTTATATTTTTCATTTTTCATTTTTATTTTTTTAGACTCGCCGGTCTCCCATCTGTCAGTGACAACAAAGTTAACTTCGGCAGTCACCCCTCCACACCAGAAAACTAAAACTCCCCTTTTACATTACATATTAAGCGTGAACTGCTTCGGGTTTTTACCCCTACGACTTGCATCTTCGAACGAAAACTTTCACCATTTTCGACCCTGCTGCCAGCGTAGGTAATTACTCTGTTTTTGTTTTACCCAGGGCCCTTCCTTTTGCTCTGGAGGATCGGCTGGTAACCTTGTTCTTTCGAGTAAGTCTCTCCACCTCCTTGTGTCTGAGAGTTTCAAGCCCTTGCACCAAGTGTTGAATCAATACTCTACTTCGTACCGTGATGACGGATATGCTTCAATTTTCTTAATTTTCTTTTCTTTCCTGTTCCTTTTCTTCTTTTTCGGCCTTTTTGTTATGTTCTTATTTTACTTTTTATCTTGAAAAAGAGCCCAGTCACTCTGTTACACAACCTCGTTCCTGCGTTGTATACCTTACCCTAACCACCCGGAAAACCCAAAAAAACCCCCCCTCAAAAAAAAGAGGGTTAAAAAAAAAAAAAAAAAGAACGTAACCATATTTTTACTACTTTGACATATTTTTCTTGCTTGACATGTGTGCGTGCGTGTCAATGTAGGCGGGTTGATATGACAGGATTTTCTTTTCTTTTCCAGCCTTGGGGGGTGAGGGGTTGTCCGTATGTACACGCCATCGAACGAACGTAGGGAGAGGCCTGCCATGATTCGCCTAGGGTTTCATCTTGCACAGCCCATGCCGGCCATGTCCTTTCGTCCTGATGTTGCCGAGATTCCACCACGACCCTTGTGGGATTGGGTGGGGATGACCCATGGCCAATGGGCCAATATGGGCCCCATCTTGAGTCTGACGGGGGGTGCTCTGTTGCTGCTAATGGCTGGCTGCTACAGCTGCTGCTTGCTACTTGCCGCTGCTATGGACACCAGCACCTCTCCGCTGAAGAAGCACCGTTCCATAACTGCTTGCTGCCTTCTTCCAGACTCTCCCTTCCTCTAGTACTAAGCAAGCAAGTTATTGCTCATCACAACCATTCCATCTCCTCCCGAGGTCCTCTTCTTCCGCTTCCCTTTTTGGTCCCGTTGGCCCCCGTTGGCCCCGTTGGTCCCTTTGGTCCCTTCAGCCAAGCTATTTGTACGGAGTGGAGCATTTGGCTTCCTTGCACTTCTGCTCGGGGGGAGGGGGAAAGGGAGAGAGGAAGAGAGTCCCGCCAAGCTTTAAACCCTTTCGCTCTTCCAAGACCCCAGTTAGCCCTATAATTCCTCTCTCGGCTAGCGTGGCACGCTCCTCACAACCCTCCCCACCCAATTGGATCTTCCGCTGTTCCGTTCTTGGGTCGCGCCTGCCCCTCCCCTCCCTGACGGATACTTCGGCCCAAGCACCTTTGGCCTTATTGCCACGGCCCGCCCACCCTTCCAATCCCCCGCTGTTCCCTGCATTGACGCGCCGAGGTCTTCTCCTGCTCCACCTCAGCACCCATTCTGCAGGACTGGTGGGACTGGTGGGACCTTAGGTGGGATTGGTGGGACCCAGTGGCTTGCAAGCCCGCATACGCCCACGCACTCCGGCGCCGAAACAACCACGCACCCGCCCTGCCTTCTGGATCGGGTCGGTGCATTCCCCCCCGCCTCGGTCCAACCATACGAGAAACCTCCCCCATCCAACCTGGATAGAACTTGCATCCAACTCTCTCTTATTCAACCAAACTACGCCGGCACCTGTTGCTGCTCAGGTGATGCTGCTGCTGCTTGCTGCGCGCACTTAGTCACTGGCGATTTTGCTGATTAAGTTGTTGATGACGCGCTGTCGCCAGTTTGGCCCTTGTATTTACTAGTGCTGGTTGCCTTCGCCCTCCCTATTGATCCTTACCTTGGGGGGGCTCGTCCTTACCTCTGGCTGGCCCACTCGGCGTGCCGTGCTTTCCCGCCATCTTGGCCTGTCCTGGCAGAGGAGGGCAAAGTAACAACTCATGCGTTCTGCTAGCCTGCAGCTGTAGTTCCAGCGGTTGCTTGCGGGGAGGGGAGAAGAGAAGAGAGAAAGAAAGAAAGGGCACAAAGTAAAGAGGACAGCCCCCGAATGTGCACACCACACCGTTCAACGGGGGAAGAGAGAGTCACAGCTCTCAAGGACGAACATATCAACCCTGCTGGGAAAAAAAAAATAAAAATAAAAATAAAAATAAAAATAAAAATAAAAATAAAAAATAAAAAATAAAAAATAAAAAATAAAAACACTCCGGGAAAGAAAGGCCAGCATAAATCAAAAAGCAATTGCCATTGAAAAGAAAACAAGGGGAGGAGATCGAAAGCAAGCTTCGCAAATATTTTGCCTTCATTATTATCTGATTATTATTATCCGTTGTTTTTATTTCCTTTTAATTCCTTTACTTTTTACTCAAGGACTGTCAAAAAAGTTGACATATTTCAACTTGTCATCGAAACCTTGTTTTTTTTTTTTTTTACTCTGGACCTCATTCTCACCATCCTTGTTTCTTCATAATTGTATTCTCTGATCTCAACCTTGAGCCTGATTTTATTCCTTGTTGATAGCGGGGCCCTGTTCTAACAAATCTCGTGCTTGTACAGGTTCCCATCAGAACTCGACAAGGAGAAACGGAAGAAAAAGAACTTAATAATTACCTTCCTACCGTTCCCAGACTTTGACTGCTGGAGCTTTCCTGCAAAAGGAGAGGAGCGTGGCAAAAAACCCAATCAAGCTTGGAAAACTGGGCCAGACCCAGAAACCCATCTCTCGCTCCATTTTTGTCGCTGCTTGGTTTTGCTTGGCCCACCCGGTCAGCTTTGAACGTCCCATTGATTTCGCCCGCCGAATTGGCCCGCCCCTTGACGTTCCTGATCGCGCTATCTGCTGCTTTAAGCCCGGCACCATCCGATAATTAGCTCTGGGGCAGTAAACTCTACTTGCGCAAGATCGAGCCCTCCATTTCAGAGCAAAATAAAAAAAGTTTGAACCGTGCTGTGGTTGTCGATCCATAGAACCTTCAAACTCTTTTTGGCGCTCTCGCGCGGGGTGTTCTGCTTTTCAAAGAAGCAGCATCATCATACTTCCATCTCGAACCAGGAGCTCAAGACCACGTTCGCCCTGTCCTACTTAAGCCTTTTTGACTGGTTTGACAGGCTGTCCGCACACATCCCGATCCTCTTTTCTTTTTTCTTTCTTTTTTTTTTTTTTTTCCCTTCTTCTTCCCCTTACCCTACTCGCTTGTTCGATTGAATATCCTCGTTCTTAATATCTTATTCTTATTTTCCCTCTATATTCTAATTTGCGTTTTCAAATAACTCTATCGCATTTTCGCGCAGCTTGACAGGGTTAATACCGAAAGTCACTTCGAAAACCTTCAAGCTTGTTGCTTAAATTCTTACTTGGATAGTCTGTCGCCGCGCAAAACTTTCCCCTTACAACTCAACCTTACCGCGTCCTCCGCAGAATCTTCGAGTCGATAGTTTTTTTTTATCTCCATATTTTTGAAGCCAATACGTTTCTGCAGCTTGTCGCACAACATGGGCAACGGCATGGCTGCAGTGCTGGCGCCGACATACACGGGCTATGTCGCCACCACTCAAGATGCGCTGATCTTGTTCGAGGCATGTCTGACTGGTATCCTCCATCATGTTCCACGACGTCCCCACGACCGAGAGAGAAGTCAACTGGTGAAAAGCGGTAGCGTATTCATCTATGAAGAGAATGCATCAGGCATCAAGCGATGGACCGACGGTGTCACCTGGAGTCCGAGCCGCATCCTTGGCAACTTCCTCGTATACCGCGAACTCGATAAACCATTTCCTCCAGGCGAGAAGAAACGTGCTATGAAGAAAGGTGCCAGGAGGCCAACACCATCGGGGAGACCTGGAGAACCATACCCGCGACCACAAGAAAGCAACGGGACTTCGTACCCAACCTCGACATCGCCAGGAGGTGCCTCATTTGGCGAGAGAAGCCAACAATCGGAGCTCGAGCGGCAGTTGGTAGGGTCATTGGTCGACTCGTATGGTTTTAAAGATTCAGGATTGGTGAAGAAGACCATGAGCGTGACGGTATCAGGAGTGACACACCACCTGGTGTCGTATTATAGTGTTGAAGATGTGATGTCAAATCGTCTCCATACTCCCATGCACCAAGAGAATCTGAGGTACATACGGCCACGCGCAGAGCTCACGACAAAGCAAAGCTTCCGTGCGCCCATTGATGACTTCGAACATGGTACACTCGAGGACGGTGACCCGTCTACAGCGTTATATGCTTATCGTTCCACATTAGGCGGCCCGCAAGCGTATGCCGCACCCAGCTCCGGTCCGCCGTACTACCAACTACCTGCATATGGCGCGCATCCTCATCAGCCTGGAGCTATGCCCAGTTACGCTGTTGGGGCTCCTGGGCTTTCAGGTCATCCCCCACCGAACCCCTACTTAACAAATGCTCCTGGTTCCGCTGACATTTCTGCGAAACAAGAAGGGTATCCAACTTATCGGGCCTCTGCACCGTACCCCGCCGCCTACAACCCGATGAACCCCCCACAACCACAGCAACCGCCCAGTACCGCTTCACTCTACCGAAACCCCTCGCTGCAACAGCGGAGTGTGGCACCGGACACATCAGGCCCTGTCGACCCCAGTTCAACAACAGCCCCCGTCTACCAAAGAGGAAGCTTCAATGTCCCCGGACCCTTGGACGCGAGCCAGTCGCAACAACTCGACCAGCAAAATGTCGGGCAGCCTTCTTACAACCCCGCTACCCGCCGAGAATCGAACGCCATGGGCCCCGCCAGCTCGTTCTATAATGGAGACCGTCAACAGCAACAAACACAGCAGCAGCAGGCACAACAGACTCAGGCACAGCAACAGCAAGCCCAACAATCGCCGCAACACCAGCACCAGCAATCAGCTCAGCAAGCATATTTCCCCAGCGCGGGCCACCAGCCGGGGCAGGCTGCTTCAGCCTACCAACCGACGCCGCAGTCGTCACTATCGTGGAACACGGCTGCAACAGGGTAAACACTAGCATAAATGAAGCCAACCGATATTTGCATCTTTTTGGTTCACCTTTCCTTTTTCATTATTTTTCCAAGGGGGGCGGGTTTTCAGTCCGTAGGGGTTTGAGGTATAGGGATTTTGTTTTTCTCCTTCTATTTGGGTGGCATAGTGTGGAGAAGATGGGAATGGGATATGAAAAACTCAGTCGGTTTATATCTGTTTCTGCGGTCTGCGGTCTGTGGTGTTTTTATCCGTCTTATTGCGGAAGGTTGGTAAGGGGTTTTCTCCTTTTACTCCATTCGTTGCTCTCTGCCTGCGAACTTCGCACTTACATTTCCCCCCCCTTCCCCCGCCCTCTCCCTTCCTCCCCCACTCCAACACTCCCGTTATGTCCTGGCTATATCCCTCCTTTCTATTGGCATGTTTCGTGTCCCTCCAATTGTACCGGCGAATTTGAAACTACGCGAGTCTGCTTTTTGTTTCTTGTCTTCTGCGTTCCTGCACTCCTTTCTTCTCATTCCACAATTATTATCGAGTCAAAAATACATAACTTACTGCCAGGCAGCCAGGGTTGGGTGGGATAGTCCTTTTTAATCTTCCTGCTTTCTCTTCGTTCCCTCATTGATATTTATTTACCCACACTTCTTCCATTGAGTGTTTTTTGCTTCAACGCAAACTAACACAAATACTCTCTACTTCTTATGCCTCAAATTGTGGTTTTGTAATTGATGAATGATTTTTCATATTTTCCCTTCATTCATTACTGCCGTTGCCGGGAGGGTTTTAATGTTGTTTTTAGTTTAAATTTTTTTTTTTTTTTTTTTTTTTTCCAACTTTCCTGTCTTCTCATCTTTTCCATGTGTGGAGCTGAAGTGGGGCGTCATCAGCATCAATTCATCATTCAGGAGAAAAGGAAATAATAATGCAATAAAAATTGTCTGTCATTATTTACTGATGCTGCTGATGCGCTTTACTTCTCTTCACAATCATCTGATTGATAATGATTTGCTCACTGCCTGCTTCTCTGTATGTTACCCATGTGTTTTGTTCTGTTGTCATGGACTTTGGAAAGCATTTGACACTGGCTGTATTAATTTAATAATAATTTATATCTCCATATATATATATATATATATATATATATATATATATATATATCCTAGGTAATGATGGGCCGGGGTTATATGTCCTTAAATAAAATATTGTTAATGTTAGTTGATTTAATTATATTTTGTCTACTCCGTATAGTTAGTTTACTTTGCTGAAAGACACGAAAGACGGGAAGGGTTAAGTCGCAAGTCGCGTGTCTCTGTCTCGGCTAACTAGTCATATGGAGTAAGTATGCGACAGGATGACTCAAGGGGCATGAGTTTCTTTCATTGCGTGAAGAGAGAGACTTGACTCCCCATCCAAAGGTTCAGACTCTGGTCTTTTAAGTTTCAGGCACGACAAAACGCAGCCAGTCCTGCTTTAGATTCATTCAAAATGCCCCGTAGCTAAATCAATATAGTTATATTCTTAAAATCCCATAGTTCACTAGTTTATCTCTCTGCCAAACTCCTTGGAATCTTTGTGCTGCTGCTGTGCCACCCCATCACTCAGGTTGGTTAATGGACGGCCAGTGCGTGCTTCGACTAGTTACTTGTTACCCGTAGTTAAGTCTCTTCTAGACCGCGTAACCAATGTGGGACTGACTGACTGGGTTGTTTAAACCGAACCGAGCTCTAATGACTAACTTACAACTTTGTAAAACTAACTAACTAACTAGTTAACTACTTGGGTAGGTAAATAAGATAGACAGGCACGTGACTATGGTGTACCCGCCCAAACTTCAACAGGTTTGTCGAACAACAAAACCTCCTCGCATAAACTGCAACAAAAAAATCTCCCTTCCCCCCCCCTCCCAACAACCCCACAGATAAATATAGAGCTGGCAGAGTTGCAAGCTATTTTTAAGTCCCATCCCCCTTCCCCCCCCTGGGTCGTGTTTCTGGCGTTCGTCTTTTTGCATCCTATAAACTGCAGGACCTATAGCTCAAGGGTGGATTATTATAGTTTCTTATACCCACCCGTTTTCCCTGTTTGGTCGCGCGTCTAGAATCTCGACTGGAACACTCATGAACAAGCATGGATGGCATGGGTCAGGCAGGACGTGGGGCGTTAAAAATCAGGTAATTCCCTGAAGGTGGCAGGGAAGAGGGGAGGGAGAGTAAGGGGGGGGGGGGGTGGGTTAAAAGGATAGGAGGATGGGAGGGAGCTATGGCTACAATACGGATACGGGGGTGGGTTTGTTGTTGTGCAGTTGGTCGCCGCCTATTTCGGGATTTCCTAGGTTGCTCTCCCCTAGCTTTGCTTCCCATGTGAATGAAGTGCCTGTGCTCTGTCATGTGAGCTCTCTGTGATTTTGGATGGGGTTTGGGACGACAAATGGGAGAAAGCTGGGGGGAATGGGCGATGCATGGGGTAAGTAGGCTGGCTGGCTGGCTGGCTTGGCTGGCTGCAAGCAAGGAGAAGATGGAAATCCGGGCGCTAACAGAAAATAGTTGTCTTTTTTACACAGATACAAATCAATATTGGCGATTCTCTAGAGACTGGACTGTCGGCGCTCCACTGTGCTCGTGTTTGGCCAAAGGCCTGCAGAGGCAGGTCGCGGCGTGGGAAATGGAATGAGGGATTCCAGAAGTCGAGACCAGAAAGGATGGGGAATGTAGTTAGGGGCGAATGATATGGGCAGGCTTAAAGGTTGCAATCGGTAACGGCATGTCATTTCTCGATGAAATTCTCTATAGAAAGCCCCTGGAACGGATTGTTGGAGTTTATATCGTTTGGAGTGCGCCGATATAGGAACCGTTGAACGGAGAAAAGAACAAGAATGGAATAGTTCTAGTTGTTCAGACAGATATCGTCTGTTCTGCAAGATTTCCATTGGTGTTGGATTCGACGTGCATCGGAGATCTATCTCTACCCAGAACCACGATTGCGAGATTTAGCTACCGGGAAATATGCCGACGTTCTAATTGTCCTACCCCCAGATGCTTGCTCTGCCCGCGGAACGGAAATTCTCCCAGGCACCGTGCACGTTCCATTCCTCATGTTCCTCTGCGGTTTAACCGAATGGATTGTTCACAGACTTCATCGGCACCTCCCCCCGTCTCATGGACGTAGAGATATATGTTCGTATTGTGCAGAACTGACAGTCGACATCACCGCTCTGCCGGCCCTCTCTTGTGTCGACACTTCCTCCATCCCTTGGGCGTCACAGCGTTACACATTTTGGGGATACACAGCGTTGTTGCACTTGCATATATCATACATACATAAGAGTCGGGGTGTATCGATGGGTGCCTGGAACATACCCCGCAAGTGACAGGACATATATGCATTGCAGAATATGTTTACCTACCTCCAGCCCAGTAAATATGCGCGACATACGAGGTGAGCAACTTGCTTGAGTAACCATCCCCACAGACCAGCGTCTACCCCGAATGACAATTATCGGCGTAGTCCGTGACGATAGTATCACAGAGCCAGGAAAGCAGAGAAGTTTGGCGCGGAGTGAGATCTATCTCAATTTTGAGAGTTTGGACGCGTTGTGTATGAGAAGATAGTTATATATGCAGGTGCTCAATTGCGCTGTGAGAGGATGAAGGTGGTTGGACTCTGGAAGGATGAGAAGAGGCGAGTTGGACTGAGCTGTTGGTTCAATGTATTTTGTCGGGCTGCTTGCTGCAACCGAACGGATGTTTGTGCGGAGGATCAGTTGTCCCGTGGCATCCAATATGTTAGTTATAAAACTAACAAGTTACTTCCGTAGTGAAGAAACATTTGTAAGCTTTTGCGAAAACGGAGACATGTCAGACATAACTCTCGGACAGATCAGCGTTTCATTTGACCTCATCCAGAACTTTCAACCCACGAGAGAAGGATCTAGTTAACTAGTTGAAGATTGGTCAGCAGCTTTGGCGATTGAACAGTTTGAGATTTGTCCAACTCAGCAAGCCGACCACGGTAGCTGAAGTTAACTTCCCAGTTACCCTGCGTTGATTGCTAAGGAAGAAGAGAAGAAGAAACCCACTAACTACCCGTCTTTTTTGGTCCTACTCCCATCATTATGAGTCTTCGCATGACGTCTCTAGCCGATTCAAACACATGGTCGAGTTCCTCTTGCTCATGATCCAGGCACCCGAGAACACGGTTAGTAGGTCTCGCCTTATCAGGCGTGAGAAGGATCAGGATGGCCGCGGTGATGCAATATGACGCGAAACGACCGTTGTAAATCGTGAAACTAGTTAGTTATTCTACCTAGTTATCAGTGACTCCATGCCTGACTACGGCAGCTGAGTTTTTTGTCTGACAAATGCACGAAATGCTTCGAAATGGCCGATATCATGCACCTATATAAAATGGCCCCGCGTTTCAATCAACTACTACTTGGTTATGAGCAGTTGGCTGAGCCTCCCCAGTTTATTATTTCCTGTTCCTTCCAGGTTGCACCACCCAACGTTTCTCCCCAGAAAAAAAGTCAGTCGCTTTAACCAGTTAAACGTTTCCCGCCGTCTCGTTCATAACTGTAGTTACAGGTGCGGCCCGTGCAAACCTAGGGTGCTGCGCTAGTTGTTTGATAACTACAATTGGCCTCTTCATTGGGCGCCCGAAGCTTGCTTGGGAGCTTGGGCCGGTGTCACTGTGTTGCTCGGGCCATACCGTCATCCGACTCCCCCGCTTGGAAAATCTCCAACGAGTGACCGGCTTGCCTGTCCAGTGGTAGGGGCAGGTCTATCGGATCGAGAGTTTCGATCACAGTTGCCTCATTTTTTGTCTGGGACGGACTGTACCTACAATGGTGCTCCAACCCGCGCAGGATGCGGACGGCAATGAGGTAGGACAGCATATCGACCGGGCAAGCCCCTCGACGAAGTCTGGGGACATGGCTGCAGGACAGCCCGCATCCGAATCGGGTCGTGAGGGGAGATGGGGTGAATATGAAGAGGTCGAAACGGTCTCTCGTCGTGGCGCTATGGAGGAGTTTGCTGAGATGACGAGGGAGTTGACGAAATTGAGTGTGCAGCACAGTATGCCCTCGACAAGAAGAAGGCAGAGCATTGCTCGCGCATCTTTCCCCGGTTCAACAATGGCGAAAGATGTCGATATCGAACGTGGCGCATCGGACTCGGCGCTTTCGGACGAGGATCACTTTGAGTTGGGCGATTTTCTGGGAGATGGCCGTCTGGAGCGGAGAACCATCGCGGGGGATCCTGCAAAGAAGATTGGTGTGGTTTTCAAGAATTTGACAGTTGAGGGCGTAGATTCCTCATCATCCTTTGTCAAGACGCTCCCAGATGCGGTTAAAGGAACATTTGGACCTGACCTATACCATCTTCTTACACGATTTATTCCAGCCCTGCAATTCGGAAGGAAACCTCGCACTCGCAGTCTCATTCAGAACTTCACGGGTGCTCTCAGAGGTGGAGAGATGATGCTTGTTCTAGGTAGGCCTGGTGCCGGATGTTCAACCTTCTTGAAAGCCATCGCCAACGATCGATCGTCGTTCACTGCTGTCCTGGGAGGAGTCAGCTATGGCGGGATCTCTGCAGAGGAGCAGCATAAGCACTTCCGTGGAGAGGTTAATTACAATCCGGAAGACGATCAACACTTCCCGACTCTGACTGTGGAGCAGACCCTCCGATTCTCCCTGATGAACAAGACCAGGAAGAGGGACAAGGGTACCATTTCTGTCGTCGTTGACGGACTGTTGAAAATGTTCGCAATCAGCCACACCAAGAACACTCCTGTGGGCAATGAGTTTACGCATGGTGTTTCTGGTGGAGAGCGAAAACGGGTTGGTATTGCAGAGACCTTGGCTACTAAATCTTCAGTTATTTGCTGGGATAATTCAACTCGAGGCCTTGATGCCAATACTGCTCTGGACTATGTTAAGTCTCTCAGAGTCATGACGGATGTCAGCAATAGAACGACATTTGTAACCCTTTACCAGGCCGGAGAGGATATATATGAGCTGATGGATAAAGTCATGGTTGTCGAGGAGGGTCGCATGCTGTACCAAGGCCCCGCAAACCAAGCAAGGTCCTACTTCGAGAGCCTGGGATTTTACTGCCCAGAGAGATGGTAAGTATATAATTCCATGCATAAAGTTCGGAGTTAATCTCTATTTTCGACTGACATAATAATGACACAAGCACAACGGCGGACTTTCTTACTTCCTTGTGTGACCCGCTCGTGCGTCAGTTTCAACCAGACAGACAAGCTTCAGCGCCCAAAACCGCCGAAGAACTAGAAGCAGCCTTCAGGGCTAGTGATATCTACAAGAGAATCCTCAACGGTGTTGACAACTACGAGAAACATATCAATGACACTGGCGCTGCTGATACACACCTTTTCCAGAGATATGTTGGTGAATGTAAGGAAATGAATGCAATGGTTCTACCGTTCTTCCCCAGTTGGCTCTTTATGCAGTGCAATCGTTCTGACCTTTTTTTTTTTCACCGATAGCAAAAAGCAAAACGGTGTCAAAGCGATCGAGTTACACTGTATCCTTCGCACGGCAGGTCAAAGCCTGTACTCGGCGACAGTTTTGGCTCTTCTGGGGCGACAAGCCTTCATTGTATACCAAGTTCTTCCTCGTGCTCGCCGTTTCCCTCATTGTTGGCTCTCTCTTTCATGGACAGTCGCTTGATACTAGCGGCGCTTTTCCCCGTGGAGGCTCACTGTTCTTCTGTATTGTTTTCCTTGGCTGGCTTCAACTCGCAGAGTTGATGCCGGCCGTGTCCGGCAGAACAGTCACTGCAAGGCACAAGGACTATGCTTTGTACCGTCCTTCTGCCGTTGTCGTCGCCCGCGTGCTCGTCGACCTTCCCGTCATATTTGCTATGCTTGTGATACAATCAATTGTGGATTATTTCCTTATGGGGTTTGACCTCGACGCTTCTAAGTTCTTTATTTTTTTCTTGTTCATCTACGTCATCACGATCTCCATTACAGCAATGTATCGCATGCTTGCTGCGTTGTCGGCGACGATCGATGATGCAGTCCGTTTTGGAGGAATAGGTATGTTTTATTTTCAAATATTCCGTTTTTTTTTTCTTGCCTGGCTAGCAATAGATACAAATGCTGACAATGTATCTAGCTTTTAACGTTGTTATTCTTTTCGTCGGATATGTATGTCCTATCGCTAGACCCTATGCACTTGGGCGATATGCTGATGTCGAAATGTTTTTATAGGCTATTCCAAAGCAGGCATTGCTCGACGATTCTCCATGGTTTGGCTGGTTGTTCTATGTCAATCCAATATCGTATGGATACGAAGCTATCTTGGCTAGCGAATTCTCGGACCGTGTCATGGATTGTGCTCCTTCTCATCTTGTGCCTCGTGGCCCTGGCATCGATCCGATGTACCAAGGGTGCTCATTTTCTGGCTCTGAGTTGGGAAGTAACACGGTCTCAGGAGCGCGATATCTGGAATATACATTTCAATTGTTAGTATCCTATCTATAGTGATGAAATTACGTCATATCTAACACTCGAGCGTAGTTCCCGGAGTCATATTTGGCGAAACTTTGGAATTATCATCGCTTTTATCATTGGGTATATCTTGATCACGGCTATTGCGGCTGAGCTCTTCCCATTTGTGACTGGAGGAGGTGGCGCCTTGGTTTTCAAAAAGCCAAAGAGAGCCAAATCGATAGCGAATGCTCAGAAGAAAGCACATTCCCCAGATGAAGAGAGTGGAGGAATTCAGCGTATTGGAGATACCAATGGTACTTCCACCCCAAGATCCTCTGCTACTGGCAACAGCAGCAACTCTAAGTTTAAAGGGCTCTCAACTGGTGACAGGGTTTTTACCTGGACCGATGTTGAATACATGGTGCCATATGGGAAAGGTGAAATGAAACTGCTCAATAAGGTAACGGGCTATGTGAAGCCCGGAAACATGATTGCCTTGATGGGTGCTTCTGGCTCGGGAAAAACAACCCTCCTCAACACCCTAGGCCAGCGACAGAGAGTCGGGGTAGTGTCCGGTGAAATGCTTGTTGACGGGCGAACTCTTCCCCCAGATTTTCAAAGGGGTACGGGTTTCTGCGAACAGATGGATATCCACGATAAAACGGCCACTATCAGAGAGGCTTTGGAGTTTTCAGCGATTCTACGGCAAGATCGAATCATACCTCGCGAAGAGAAAATTAAATACGTTGAGCAGATTATCAGCCTGTTGGAACTCGACGATATCCAGGATGCCATCATCAGTTCAGTTGGCGTTGAACAAAGGAAGCGCTTAACAATTGGTGTTGAGTTGGCAGCCAAACCTAGCCTTCTGTTCTTCTTGGACGAGCCTACTAGCGGATTGGACAGCCAGGCAGCATTTTCTATCATCCGATTCTTGAGAAAGCTAGCTGACGCAGGACAAGCTATTATATGCACCATTCATCAACCTTCTTCCCTGCTAATCGAACAATTTGACACCATCCTGGCCCTAAACCCAGAAGGAAATACTTTTTATTTTGGGCCCGTGGGTGAGAATGGTCGCACCGTGATTGACTACTTTGCTGAGAGAGGTGCCTTCTGTCCTCCACGCAAGAACATTGCGGAATTTATTCTCGAGACTTCAGCAAGGGGTCGCATGAGCAATGGGAAACGAATCGATTGGAATGCCGAGTGGCGAAACTCGAAGGAACTTCTTAACCTGCGAGAAGAGATCGAAAAAATCAATGTCGAACGGAGCAGACTTCAGCCTGCCGAAGTTACTGGTTCCCAGTATGAATATGCCGCGCCTCTGTCACTTCAGTGTTGGATGCTCACAAGGCGGGTATTCATCAACTACTGGAGGGATTCCTCGTATCTCTATGGAAAGTTGTTTATCAGCACAGTCATTGGTATCTTCAATGGTTTTGTATGTTTTACCTTCCTCAAAATTGCCTCAACATTGCCAATTCATTGACGCTTTGCTAATGGAGCCCTTTTTCCAGACATTCTGGCAGCAAGGGAATACCATAGCCAGCATGCAAAACCGAATGTTCACTATATTCCTCATCATTTTGCTCCCACCTATCTTCATGAACGGCATCCTTCCGAAGTTCTTCATGAACAGAATGCTCTGGGAAGCGAGAGAGCACCCGAGTCGCATCTACAGCTGGTTCGCATTTTGCACTGCCAACGTTGTCTGTGAGCTTCCGGCAGCGGTCGTTACTAGTGTCGTCTACTGGCTATTGTGGTATTATGCCACAGGCCTTCCCACAAACTCGAGCGCGGCTGGTTACGTGTTCTTGATGACAATGCTTTTTTTCTTTTTCCAGGCAAGCTGGGGACAGTGGGTAACCGCCTTCGCGCCCTCGTTTACCGTTATAGGAAATGTACGTCTCCATATCTGCCCTGTATTCATCCAAGTAATGCACAACAAATCTAACCATCATTGAACCAGGTCCTCCCATTCTTCTTTGTAATGCTAAACCTCTTCAACGGTATGATGCGACCGTACTCCTCCATACCCCCATTCTGGCGCTTCTGGATCTATTACGCAAACCCAATCACCTGGTGGCTTCGCGGCGTGCTCTCAGCTACCCTCCCATCTACGCCAGTCGTCTGCTCCCCCAACGAACTCACCCACTTCAACCCACCCCCCGGCCAAACATGCACAGATTACGCAGGTGACTTCATCACATCTGTCGCGCGAACAGGCTACCTTACCAACCCTAACGCGACGACGGATTGTGCATACTGCGCGTTCTCGAATGGGAACGAGTACATGGGTACCCTGAATGTGCACGAAGATGATAAGTGGAAGGGCTTCGGGATCTTTTTGGTATTTGTGGTGATTAACTGGGCTCTGGTGTACTTTATGATTTATACGGTACGGGTAAGGGGATGGACGTTTGGAGCTGGCACCGCGGTGGAGGTTGTGGAGAAAGCGCTTGCTTGGGTGAGAGGTTTAGTGAAGTCCATTATAAAGGGAAAGGAGAGAAGCGAAGGGGAGAGGGACGAGAATAAGGAGAATGAATAGGAGCAGGGTGCTGTTGAGAACCGCAAGTGAGTATCATATGCACATGGCTTTCTAATTGCCACTATTGTGAATGTTTATACGTCTATTTTTGTCCCCCGTTTGTTTTGATTCGCTAGTTAATGACAAGTTGCCATGGCTAATTAACTACTTGGTTCTTCGGCGTATTTTTTGCTTTTCATGATTTCTCAAATACTGCATTGCAATTTGTTGAAGTCAGTGCTATTTTTGTCAATAGTTTGTCCAAATGTTTATCTCCTCAGTTCACCTATATTCCGGCACATAATGTCCTCCCTTTTTCTCCTTGGGTGGAGACACCACTCTCTGGGCGCTTTTTGTTTAAGGTGGACATGAAGAAAAGGCCCGGAAGCAGACTGTGGAGGGGGACAAAAAAGATAAGAGGGGTTGGTAAATAGCGAAAGATAATAGAAGTGATAGAACACAAATATGTATATAGAGGAAATAGGGGGAACACGTGTTCTAGTTGATGTGTTACCAATATCTGCCTTCCACCACCGGCAGTTTTGAAAAGCAAGTTAAAACAAGCATCATTGTGAATCCACTGCTAGTATTTTCACTTCTCACGAATCGTGGAGATGGGGTAATATTACAAATATTAAAGATTAATCTATATATATATTTACCGCATATTGCTTAATTATTTGGCAAGCAATAGGCGAATATACTCAAGAGAATTCATCCGGGGCCTGTCATGTCAACGCTTTCAGGAGACTTTCGAAAGATAGCTTCAGAAGAGACAAGTAATGGGAGGAAACGGGGTGAGAAACCTAGGGAAAGGCATTTGAAAAAAATTCCGTACGGGCAAATATCTCCTATTCAACCCGATTTTTGACTAAAACATACATATGATGAGGTACATCCTCTTGGATGCTGAGGTTAAACCCCTGAAATGTTACTTAACGCCAATCGGATATTCACTTTTTCTAACACAAAAAAAAAAAAAAAAAAAAAAATTCCAAGTCGCCCAAGCAAGTAAATAGCACCAAAAACGAAGAACAGAAGCAACTGCAGTGTAATTAAGCAACACGTTGAGGGAGCCAATCTTCCATATAATACCACGGCTTATCTCCAGGCTGATACGGTTCCCCAGGAACACGCATCGGAACCGGGATCCTCGGCTCAAACACACTAACAAGTTTCGATCCATCGCTCACAGTCACGCTTGCGCTTTCAGATTCGGGTTCGAGTTTGGGGCGGAGAGTACTGCCAGATGAGGGTTGGGAGGATAACTGTCCGGATCCTCTGTGGCGGATTGGGATCACAACACCACATTCCCAGTTTCTGCAGTTTAGTTTCGGTTTGGTCGTGGAACGGTCGAGGACAAGGCGGCCCCTGTATTTTTAGGAACGGAGGCTTTTGTTAGTAGTGGGAAACGAGGAAGCCCGGAGGGATGATGAGCTCTTACCATGCGCTTTCTGATAGGTTGGCACTACCTACGTATGCCCAGCCGGCATATTGGGTGGAGTTGTCTTTTGAACTGGTGAATGGTTTATCGGGGCAGGCGAAAAGCATCTAAGAAACGATAGGACAGATTTATGTTAGATACTAACTGCTCGCAAGTATTAAAGCATACACTCATTTCCGCAAGCGCGCACTACCATACCTTACTATGCATCAACAGCCCATCCCTACGACTGATATTATTCCGCATAACATTTCTCGGGAATGTCGTCGAGTTATACCACTTCGATTGGAAACATATAGTTCCGGCATTCATCGTGCCACCTTTAGATTGACAAACTGTGTTGAGTGAAGGGAAGTAGACCTTGAATCTATCTCTCCACTTCTCACCGTCAGTTCTTGTTGTTAGCACCCCCAACTTTTCGGAAGGAAGAGTCCTGGAGGTGCGAAAGGTTAATTCTTTTAAGCCAGTGTCCCCTATATCAAGTGTTAGTAAAGGTGGAAAGCCATAACATCTAATTTAGGTGAGGGTCACCCTGTGCTGCGAGGTATATAGATCGCAAAAATTGTTCGTTTAGAGAGCCCACTGACGAGGTCTGCATGACTGGTAAGCCAAAATCAGGGGTAGAAACAAATCTAGTAATGGTGAGCTTACGACGTAGTCTAAGTTTAAATTCTGGGATGTCTGAAGACCCAGGGACGTTATCGCTCTTCCGAGACCGCAGAGGCCCGTTCGTTTCCAGGTTGGGTCTGTATGAGATCCACCGCTGAAAAGAGTCAGATATAGGAACCGATAAAGGTTGAGGATGGGGCAATACGTACATTGTATGCACAAAAGCGATATCCTTAGTAGCACTAAAATCAAAATTTAACATTTTCTGGATAATTTGTTCGTCCAAATTGGATGCCTGAAGGAAATAAACCAGATCTTCAAGAAACGGTGTGCGAGGGTTGGCATCAGGACTGGGAGAGATTCGTGGGAGGTCAATTAAAAAGACAACCTGACAGAAAATGACGGGCTATTCATTAGATAACAGGCTGTTTTTTGACTATGACAAATTCTGGATGGAGATAGGGCTCACATTTTCCATGATGCCTCCCTTCTCTCCCCAGTCAAATGGAATTAGGTTCGCACTTGGGATTACAATGCGAAGATGATTCAGGTGGAAAAGAAGCATGAGTTTTGAATGCATGCAATTCACCTGCGGCTCCATGGGAGGAAAACAAAGTCGAACGCTTCCCATGGATTTGGTGTCATTCTCTAATTCCCGTTTCTGCTGGATATGTTAGTGCAGGGCTCATACCAGTGATTTACGGCAATGCTGAGTAAAAACAGAACAGAAGGTAGGAAGACAACTATTCACCATACCTTATCTTCTTCCTTCTCTCCCATGATGAGGATGAATCTAGATTTTTTAATGTCGAATTTCGAGAACAGCCAGTCGGCGTCCCAGATATAGGAACTCAATACCGCAAGCTCGAGATCGGATTTTTGAATCACCTCTTCAATTTTGATATCGTCGCCATTCCTATCGTAGCCAAAAGCCCATGTCTTCTTCACAGATCCGGTCGGAAACTCCAGTGATGTCGATGATTGTGCCGGTACGTCAGTACTTGGAGCCACATCCTCCTTCTTTCGCACATCATTTGCGGCTAGACGGACGCCAGAAGCCGTAACTCTAGAAGGAACACGCTCTTCCTCTCCCAGAACCGCAGCACGTTTTACCACAGGCGACGCAGCCAAAGGTGAAGCTTTTCTCTTCCTATCCAGTCGTGCTAATCGTTCCTCCTCCATTTTCTTGCGATCTATCCCCAAAATACCCGGTGATCTAGACGCCACCATTTCAGCACTCCTCTTAGTCAGGCTCGAGAAAACAATGGATTCCCCTTCACCATCATGTCCCAAAGAATCTTGTTTCTGTAACGATAATTTGATCGCCCTATCAAGTTCTTGGTCTGAATCACCCATCACCTCATTCGATGCTAGTGCATCTTTCTTAGAGTCTCTTGCATCTGAATGTGGAGAGCGTTCCGATTCAGAATCAGCGGTTAGATCCACAAAGTTAGGGACCTGACGAGATGACGATGATGCTAATGATGATTGTCTTTTCGCATCCTCTAGGGATGCTTGGATGGCGGCTCTATACTGCGCTTCCTCATATTCGTCGTATAAATCACTCTTGTCCATCCTGGATAGCAGTTGGCAACTCCGTTGAAATGTTTGGGCTCCGCCTGCTGCTATGCAGAAGGAGCGTTGGAATAATAGAGGAGCAAAGCGCCTAAAGTAAACACGGGTCAATAACACATCCATAAACATCTAAGTGTGAAAAGATAGATCAGAGAGAGAGCGGAGAGATGCCAGGCTAATGAACGTTCTCTAAAATCCTGGTTGGAAGATGGCCAAGACGACGTCGAGAGCCAAGGCTAGTTCAGCCTGCAGCAAGACATATATGTAACGTATCAGAGACTATTCAGCCACATGCACCAGGGAAACCCCACGGTCAAGCCTTGGATGCCTTATTTGTGCATTTCATCTGTTTGTGTTGTGGTCCCCATTCCCCTTGTTGTTGGAAGTAAACTTGAATATCACGTGTGTTATAGTTACGTCTTCTGGAGAGTGCGAGGTTGGTCCAAGCGCCACGAGCTGACGTCAGAGACATAACTGCAAGAGCCTCAAGATCTTATACTTCACTGCGTATATGACAGGTTCCATGAACTAAAAAATGGATCCGAAATATGGTTTCCCGGTGCGATGACATGTTTTGTATATCTATTAATATATTTTTGCTAATGAGAAGTTATTCCAACATGGACTAATATGCGGGCATTACTTGCTAATCAAACCTGCAATTTGAGCAAAACTGGAAAGCAATGGGTTTTCAGACTGCAATTCACAGACAAACAGCAAAAGTGTCTATTATCAGAGCCGGAGCAGCTGGAATGATACACTGCAGTGAGCAAACTATGGGACTGAGGAGTCTTTTGCCCCCTTTTTGCCTTGGGTGCTAGGATGAGCCCATTGACCAGCGCGGGCTATGACAACCAACTCTGATCGTGCGCATCCGCCCTTATTGAGCATACCAGCAGGTTCGACACCACGGCCACAGGAAAGCAACTGTGCTACCACTCCACTCTGGACACGGACTGAATGAGTAAAACTGTAGATCATGTTTCTTCACGGAGATGCTGGAATGCAAAGGGTCCAAGGGGACCAAATAGCATTTGCATGGATGAAGCCGATTGGTCGACAGGGTCAAGGTCACCGTATCTCAACCAGCTCATACCCGGAAAACGAAACCAAGATGGGACCGTTGATCCGATCACCCCGACTGGGCTCCCAGATACCAGCTCCAGCTGGGATACACCATCTGGATAATCCATACTGCCCGTTGACCGGCATGTCCTTTAGAGGCATTTCCCAAATGGAAAATTAAAGCAGCCATAGGAGGTCAATCAGATCTGTAAGATTGCTTTTACCAAACCCAACTGATGGCCAGCTGCCTCATCATTGGTAGCAATATCTCGTGACTCCTCGGAGGCATAAGGGAAGATGCAGGGTAGCGGTATATGTGGGGAGGCCATGTTGAACTCGATGCACCAACTCGCTACTAAATCTGCCGCAGGATTTTCACAGAATCGTCTGAACACCCAGTAGTGCAGTGGTATATCGTCTTTGCATGAAGGGACGAGATTTTTTGCCGGCCTTGCTCAAACAAACTTCGCAAGACACTTTGAAAAATGCCCATGGTATGAAATTCGCGAAGTGAATTGCAGCAAATAACATGGTGTGATCCAATGCAATTTTTGAAATTAATTACCTGTCCTCTCAGTTATAACGCTGCCACCTTCGTCTCTTCGTGGGCTGTAAAGTAAGCCTGCGAAACGGCACCTGAGAGCGTTCAGGCTGTAAAACATCGCAGTTACGTTGAGGTTTACGTGACATCGTATGGACCGGGGGGAACTACAATATGAACACAGCAAATATATTGCCAGCAATTCCACAGATTCGGGGAGCTTATTGAGTCATCTTAGTGATAGATGATCATCACCAGCAACAAATCATTCAGCCATAGACACATCATACAAGAGCTGGTTATCCTCCACCTCTTCTTTCAAAGAAGCTGGCTGCTGCTGTGATTCCTCATCAGCAAGCGGGAAATGGAGATGCTTCCAATCCTCAATCTCTTCAGTAATGCACTTCAACCGATCCCTAATACTCTCCACCGCATAACTGCCCAACAGTAGCCGTAACGGCGGGAACGAGCAATGAGCCAGCTGCCAAACTAGCTCAGCAGCCTTAACCGCGCTAATAGGCTGCTTATCCCCCATCCACTGTATGATTCGTCTCGCATGCCCTGCCGGTGCGGTATTTGAGCGATACGGCTCGCTTGCAGGCTTGATGAGGAAATGTCCGAACAATGGCAGTGGTGAGGAATAGGATAAGTCCGGAGCAGTGGACCCTGAAGGAGACTCTGGGGTGTCAAGATCATCCCGACGCATATGTCCCGGCTCAACAAGCGTGCCTTTAATATTAAATGCGTCAACCTCATACAGCATACTCTCAATGAGCCCTTCCACGGCATATTTCGTTGCGCAGTAAGGTCCCAGCCCCGGCACTCCCAGCGCCCCAGACGTAGAGCTGAATATCAAATACCTACCTTGCCTCCGCTCGCGAAAATACGGCAGCGACAGCTGCAATATATTCAGCGTGCCGGTGAAGTTGATCTCAAACTGGTTGCGGATGTCGTATTCTTCCTGGTCCTCACAGGCGCCCACGACGCCGTAGCCGGAGCAGTTAACGATCAGGTCTATACAGCCGAAATGCTTGATGGTCCTGTCGATGACGGCGCAGACGGTTTCGCGCGCCCGCACGTCACAGAGGAGACCGATGCAGTTGCTGTTCTCAGAGTGGAGGGCTTCCATGCTTGCGGGGGAGCTTTCGAAGGTACGTCCTACGGCTGCTACGAGGTCATTGTGGGATAGGGCGCATTTGACGAGGGAGCGGCCGATGTGGCCGGTTGCACCAAATATCTGCCAGGGGTGGAACAGTACATTGGTTCAGCGAGACATGAAATTTGACAGCGGACTTGCAGAAGAAGCAGGGGAGAGGTCATGTGGCAGCGCTAGAGACAGACATACCAGCCATACTAGCTGCTTGGGGGGGTTTTGTGGGCCGGGAGGGTCTGTGGTTGCTGGCAAGCGGAGTCGTTCATCTTGAGCTGCAGTGGCAGCGGTGGAGGGTGAGAGCGAATTAGCTGCAGGGGATGGTTCGCGATCTCGCGGATCCATAGAAAAATCGGGGGTTGAGGATATTTAGAGAAAAATGTTGTTTCCCCAGTTAGAAAGATGTTTCAAAGAATGACATTGTGGCGCCGCTTAGAATTTGTATTATTTAGCCCGGATCATTGGATGCGTTGGAGATTCAACGATTGATGTCTCTGCGAGATGTCAAGAGTCCAGCCTCAGGGTTAGCATCAAGCTATGGAACGCCACATGTGGAGTCACCATTTAATTTACAAAAGAATGTATGTATATATATATTCTAAAATTCGAAAAACCGTAAGGATCATAAAAAGTAACAGTTTCGGTTCCATTAGACTGCTACAGGACAAAATGAACGTACCGACGAATGTAAACCACCCAATTACAGCGCAGCAAATAACGCCATGACCAGGTACATACAATATAAACCCTTCATTACCGCGCAACAGAAACAAGCAAATAGGAGAAGCAGAAAAATCACCTCCCAATCTCTCTACGAAGCCTACTCGCAACCGTCGTCGGTGCAGGCTCAGGCCAGTTCCCCACCGCATCCTCAACCTCCTCGAGAAAACTCGCACTATTATGAATGCACGTAGCCCCCAGCACAACACGAACACCAGGTGAACTAGCATTGACGTGAGCCACTATCTTGGCTTCTTCGTACGTTGCCCCTCCCACCACGAACACAATGATATCCTGCGGTTTATCCCGGGTATGTCCGCCGCCTTCGAGGAAGGGATATTGGAGCTCCTTCAGCCGACCTTTGATGAGATTTTGGAGTGTGGACTCCAATCGCGGTGAGTGTTGGGTATATACGTTCTCGACGCCCTTGAGGGGTTTAAATCGGTCCCTGGCACCGGAGAGAAAAGATGCGGACTCAAAGAGGTCGGAAAATCCACCGGCCACGGGGGGCGCTTGGAGTGAGTGATGGTATGCTAGTAACTTGGGAATAGTGTTGATTTTATGTGGAGAGACGCTCCCTGCTGCTGTAAGCAGGTCAATCAAAACGGGCAGGGCGTTGGAAGGTTGCTTTTCATAACGGATGGCATATAAGGCAACCAGTCGGACTTTGTTATCAGCGGTCACTGTCGGAGATTGAATCAGACGTTGTAATACCTGTTAAATTACGGTCAGCGAATACCACATATATCATATCGGCGGTTAGATGAGGGGAGGATGGAGAAAAATAAACCTTAAGGTCGTTCGCGTGGTTGTCATTACAAGCTAAGCTCTGTTCTAGTTCGCTCACATCTAGCAGGTTATTTTCACCCACTTTTCTGCTCAGTTCACTCACAAGAGCCACATGTTTGCTGACATTGCCCGACAACTTTCTGAACTCTGGGTAGTCCTCAACAAATCGTTTCATGTCTGCAATGGACTCGATGCTCATGTTATTTTTCGTTCGGGACTGGTATTGCTCAACATATTCTTTGATATTACCACCCAAGTCGCCAAAGTTTTGGTACATATTCTTCTTGAAGAAGGGATCTTGGTCCTGGGATATTACAATCTCTTTCAGCTCTGGTCTGATGTCTGGAACATCGCTCAAGTCAACCCGACCATTATTGATTCCAAGCAATTCGTGGACCATAGCCTGGTAGGTCCACTGGTTCAGCAGTGGCGTGATAGGGTCATCGCGACGGTCGAGAATAAGCAGAATGGGAGGGGTGTCTGTTTTCCGGAAGTTAAACAGCTGCTCCTCTTGGGTGAGATTATACCGAACTTCTGTAGCAAGCTTCTTGGCTATAAGACTATTCTTTTCGTAACGAATCAAGGGATTCTTCTTCAACGACAAAAGTAGCGCTATGACACCATCTGTCGTTCTCTGGAGAGCGTCTGAATTCCAAACATCCGGGCTGTGGCTCCATATTCTCTGCTTTGGATAGCCAATATTCAGCGAGCAAAGGTCAGGGTTAATAACTGAGAAATCCGCAAAATATTCCTGCACGGCCTTCACGACCTCATGATCATCCGCCTCTGCCAGCCGCTCCAGCGATGACTTGCGGACAATGTTGCTGAAGTAGATGTAGTATTCACCGTACTTGGGTTCGCGTAATTCATCAATGAGAAGCTGAACCGAGTCAGGTGAAGGACGGACGAAGCACAAACATCGCAGGTGTCGCATCTTCTCGCGAGACTGGTTGTCAAGGCGGTCGATCAAATAGACTTCATGGTTCAGGAGAGCGGACTGGGTCATTGCGGTTGATACAATTGGGACCTACGGTAAAAGGTCAGCACTGCTAGCAGCGGTTTTTAGAAGGTTGCGTCTCCCACGGTCTCACTATCAAGCAGTAATATCTTCATTTTGGCCGTGGAGGATCCGGTTGCCGATGAATCCCCTACGGAAACCATCTTCGAGACGTAGCCGGACACAGCTGAAACGACGTCCATTGCGATGGATTTGTTGCTAAACCAGCTAGCGCAAGGGAGCAGTTATGTGGAACGCCAAGTTCCCCTATATACTCGGGTATTTCAAAGTCTTTACAGCAGAAGAGTTGGTGCTGAGGATAGAAACATTTGTTGCTGCGGCTTTGTCTGTTGCCACTGAATGGACCGATGGGTTACATAATCCATATAGGCTGGCAGAGCTCGGATCGGGGGAAGGTTTTGCCTGATAACAGATAACAAAGTCTTTGATTAAGCTAACCGGTCTATATTTTGACCAGACCCTTTTTCAACCACTCTATCCAAACCTAACTCACCACCTTTACCACGCGTTTTCTCAACCACATTATTAAAATGAAGCCTAATAACGAAGCTGCTATAGCTGCTGCTATAGAGAATTTAAAAAATGGTGTTTTTCAATCTGAACGAGCTGCTGCTAAAGCATATAACATCCCACGAAGCACATTGAAGAGTAGAACGAATGGTTCCATTCAACAAGCAATTGCTCATCAACATCGACAAAAGTTGACTCCAGAGCAAGAGATCTTTCTAGTTCAATGGATAAAAGAGCAAGATTCACAAGGATTTCCACCCTCTCACGCGCGTGTACGAGAAATGGCGACCCAAATTCTACGAATGAATCGAGATCCCACTCAGCTGGGTAAGGATTGGATAAGAAAGTTTCTAAAACGAAATCCTATGATAAGATCCGTGGTTGGCCGAAGGATTGAGTCTCAAAGGATAGAGAATACTCAGCAGGGAAACACTTCAGCAGTTCTATAACTACTTTTCTGAGACACAACAGGCTCATGGGATAGTCACTGAAAATATATGGAACATGGATGGGCATGGCATTGCTTTAGGAGTATGTATGAACACCAGAGTGCTTGCTGAGCAAAGGAAAGGCAAAACCTATGTTAAATCTCCCTCTAATCGCGAGTGGGTTTCAATTCTTGAAGCTATTAGTGCTGATGGGCGCTATATAGACCCTCTAGTTATTTTTCGAGGTCAAAATTCACAATCTAGCTGGTTTGAGGATGTGAATATACCCAATTGGACCTATACAACATCAGATAATGGATGGACATCGAATAATATATGTCTCAACTGGTTACGTACGATTTTTCTACCTCAAACGTTTAAGGAAGGTCAGCATAGATTATTAGTGCTGGATGGTCAAGGCAGTCATGTCACTATCGAATTTCTATGGGAATGTCATATAAATTTGGTTCATTTAGTGTTTCTACCTGCTCATACATCTCATGTTCTTCAGCCATTGGATCTTGGAGTGTTTTCACCCATGAAGAGCTCCTATAGAGCTGAGATCATTGTCTTAAGCTATCTGGATGATGCCGCTCCTGTGAAGAAAAGAAGATTCATACAAGCCTATGAACAAGCACATTCAAAGGCCTTAGAATCTTATAATATACGTGGAGGGTGGAAAGCAGCTGGTCTAGTGCCATTTAATCCTTCCAAGGGATTAGATTCCTCTCAGGTTCGAGATCAGGGTCAATCTAACCCTAGGCCGGTGACACCTACAACCTCTCTATCTTCTGAACTGCAAGATCCCTTGCTTACAACCCCCCGAGATCCTAGGCATATATATAAGGCTCTGCAGCAGTTGAATAAGGAGGGAATTCTTACAAGAAAGCAGCTGGTTTTTCTTTGAAAAGCTAGCAAGGTGATTGGCGAGTTAAATGCTCTACAAGCTGCCAGTCAGTCTACAATTTTTAAACTCTCTAATCAACTAGAGACCATATAGCAGTCAAAAACCAAAAAGAAGGTGGAAGTTGATCCAAATACCTAGTTTATCAATATAGAAAGAATTAAGAAGGCTCAAGAGAAAGCTGCTGCTCTGGAGGCTAGGAAACAACTACAGAAGCCAGAAATTGAGGCTAAAAAAGCAGCAGCAGCAGCTTTAGCAGCAGGTCTGGAAGCCTGCATGTTTGAATGGCAATTAGATTGAATTTGTAGTTAAATATTTACCCAAATAGAAAGAGTGGTTACTTTGGATAGAGTGGTCGAAAAAGGGGTCTGGTCGAAATATAGACCGGCTAGCTTAGTTGCTTCATGAATGTTATCATCTTCGATAACGGAGTCCTAAATATTCTAACGGAGTTTCTATTATGGGTATTCAACTTTCATACCGATTGGTAAGGATCAAATACGTAGTTATCCCGATGTATTTCATTCATTCGTCAAACAAGCCTCAGCTTCCAACCCCATGGTAACTATATCAATATCAATGGAAGTGTCTGGAAAATGCCATTGATTACCCAGAAATGGGCCATAATCATCCTCCATGGGGGGAAGGTGGGTACAGGTTTGAGGTTCCTATAGATCGACCATGCCCCGCAATAGCATCACTTATTTCCCAGCATCATCCTTCAAAGCCACAATCCTATTCAAAACCACTCTATCCTCCGTACTATCACTATCCAACGCAAAATACGCAACCCGCATCCCTTGAAACCTGACCGTCTCCGGATGCACAATCGACCCATCTGTGCCCGCCTCCCCTGCCTTTCTAACGACATATTCTTCTGTCTCCGATTTGTCTGAGTTAGATGCCTTCTCACCTTGCTCAGCGGGCCAGGGTGCCCGACTCTTGATCTCGGAAAACCCGATATCGACCATTGCGTCCGGGTAGATTTCCATGGAGTTGGGGTTGATGTCAGCTAGGAAGCCGGATGGGTGACCTTTAGGGTCTTCGGAGTTGAACAGTTGGTTGAGGACGCGGACTTCGGCTTTAATGGGACTTGAGTGCTCCGGGGATAGAGACACCCAGTGGATGAAGCTGCGGGTTATATTTCGAATTAGATATTGTATAAAAACGATTTCTATGATTGCTACTGGACTTCTGGCAGCAGGGGAAGCATTCCAGTTCTTCTTCTCCCGGAATGTGAAATAATATGATAGTTGGAGGACTTACGACTTTGGCTTCTTAGGAGGGGATCCTTCTTCTGGTTTCTCATATTTCGCATGCACACAAGTTACCAATCCGGTCTCTGGATCTTTCTCAAAAGACGTTGCAGTGATAGGATGGGGGACTTTCATGAGACCGACTGTCTTCCCAGGAGCAAGTCGGAAATAATCGGGCGAATCCATCTCCCTAAAATCACTTCTCTCAATAAAAACGGTCCGGGTGAACGGGACCTTGTGAACCTAGTAAAAAATAATTTCTGTTAGTAGATGATCAAACTGTTTGTATTAGAAATATACGAACAGATCTTAACGTACTCCGAACGCTGGGTCTTTCGAATAAGGAAGCTCCACCATTTCGAGATAGTCTTCTGGGAGGTCATCGATGACAACCTTGAGCGGTTTCATGACGACCATTAATCGCGGAACTGTAGTTTCTAGGTACCGCCTCACTGATTGCTCGAAGCGATGTGCTTGAATGTTTGTTTTGGCTTTGGTAACCCCGAGTTCGTTTACGAAGGAGAGAATGGCCCCTGGAGGGACTCCTCGACGGCGTAGGCCGACGAGAGTAAACAGACGGGGATCATCGTACCCTCCAACGTGCCCACCATCGATAAGTTTCATGATATCACGTTTTGAAAGGATTGTCCCCGTAACGTTAAGACGGCCATATCTATGTGAAAAGAGTTAGTTTATTTTCTATAGAATTTTATTAAAAACGGAATCACGGATCTCACTCTCTCTGCATTGGTGTGTATACTTCCAACTTGTCACATAGCCATTCATAGGACACCCGCGACAGCTCAAATTCCGTCGTGCATAGAGAATGTGTGATGCCCTCAAAGCTATCGCAGAGACAGTGCGTAAAATCGTATGTAGGGTATATTCTCCATTTATCTCCGGTGCGGAAATGGTGTCTATCCTCCTCCGCTAGGACACGGTACGCGGTAAGGTCCCACATCTGCGGGTTGCTGTCTTCAATGTTCTGCTTCATTCGAAGCGCAGCTTCTCCCTCCCTATATTTGCCATCTCTCATTGCTCTAAATTCTGTAAGTGACTCTTCAACAGGACGAGTGCGGTGCACACATGCAAATCGCGGTCCCCCCTCCCCTTTTCCTCCACCCCGCTGGGCTTTGATTTCGTCCTCTAATATTTCAATCAATATCTTGAAGTACAGACAGGAATTGAAGATTAAGAAGGGGGGGGGGGGGAAGAAATAGCGTTACTTACTGGTACAATGACAGACATATGCACCATCCCGTCTAATCAAGTCTTCTGCCAATTCATAGAGGCGATCGAAATTGTCGCTGGAATAGGTGATCTTGACTGGAGAGAATCCCAACCATCTCACGATCTCCTCAATGGAGACAAAGTACCTTTCCTCCTCACCCTTGGGGTTTGTGTCATCATATCGCAGATAACAATCCCCGCCATGAAATCGCGCAAACCCAAAATTGATCGCGATGGCCTTGGAATGCCCGATGTGCAAAAACCCATTGGGCTCTGGCGGGAAACGTGTCACCACTTTCTTGACATGCTCTGAACCTATTGGCCTCTCGTTGTAAACGTCTGCAAGAAAACCTGTCTTAAACATGGAGTCCGGGTCTTCAGAAAAGGCCATAGAAGCGGATTTCTTTGTCTTTGCTGGGGTAAGACCCTTGGGGGGTTTAGGCGCCTTGGGAGCTTTTTCTTTAGGCTGGTTTAGGTTATTCGTCGGCACTTTGGTGCGATCTGGGAGGTCTACTGTAGTCTCCATGTTGCGTGGTTTGGGATTTTCAGCTGCAATGGCTCCGCGTTGAACAACTCTAGAGTACGCCAGGGGGGCCGTTAGCAAAAAGAAGCCAATGAATTGTCCAATTACCCAACAACCAATGAATCGTAATTTTATTTAAAGGGGGCAGATTTCGTATCCATACCTTGATGAGATTCGCAGGGCAGCGTCCTGAACAGTGAAAATTTGGTGTGCGAACACAGCGAAGGACGTGTGTGGTCTGCTGGGGCTTCTGATATAAGAAAAGAGGGAACCGTTTGAAGTGGGATAACGAGGGCGGTTTCCCGCTTATCGATAAGGAATGACTCAAAGGGTCCAACCAGACAGTTTTACATCTCAGTCTAAACTGTGGAGAAAATTTGGCAAAAGAGAGTCAAGAGCATATCAGCAGGGATACCTATTTAATAATAGGGAAATATCCATTTTTTAGTTAACTTATATTATTAACTACTATCTTAGTTTAACTAGAAATAATTTATTAAAAAAAAAAAAAAAAAAAAAAAACCCCGGATTGTGATAATATCACGTGATTTCTTTAAGTTTAGAAAGAGTCGGAAAATCAAATAACCGAGTATAAAAAGCTTCAAAAAAAGAAAGACTCCAAACGAGAACATTTATTTATTTTACATTTAGTTTGCTTGAATCCCTCATTCTCTTACCTTCTTGTTGAGATTGGGGGCAATTTATCTATTTGCGGGTTATATTCCGAGTTGGCCCCGGTTTTGAAGTTGTGTCGTTCCCCCGGTTCCAATCCCCAGTTCGCAAACCCATAAGGGATTCTTCTATGCTACTCTAACCAGCTTTTCTGTGAACTTGCCCATTGGCCGCATTTCATTGTCGTGCATCAGTTCTCTGTTTATTCTGTTTAGATTTCCTCCGGAGTTGGAATATTATTTCCATTTAATTCTTTCCCACTTTGGTGTTCGATTCCATGATTCGTGTCTAGGGCGATTTTTCGCTTCTCAAGTCAGCGGAATATATCCTAGCATATAAGGAATTCTTGTCTATTCTGAGCTGATGCTTCTATCTATTTCTTTCTTTATTTTTTTTCCCCTTCTAAATTACTAGTGGATCTGTGCATGTTCTCAATTTTGCAACCTCCGGATCCCTGAGGCGAGGAGGGCTGATAAAATAAACAGCAGAACATAAGAAAGCCCCCGAAAAGTCTCATTTGCGTATCTCCTTTGGCTACTTAGCTATCTACAGAATGGCTAGCACGTCGTCGTTAATTCCCCTGTCATGGACATCTCGAATCAGTTCTCAATCGTTTCCTCACCTTCGGTGTTGGGGGAGAGTTCTTCACCGCATGACGGGACGGCCCCCCCTCGGTTCTCGCTTGATTCATGCGTCAAACCGAGGAATTTGTCGACCACGTCTATGCTACGACTCGAATTTTCCTGGAGAGCTTACGCGTGTCTGCGTGGAAACAACCTCACGTTCTTCAGGCTGTGCAGCGATGTCAAGGTAAGTCAAAATCTCTAATGGAAAGTTAGGGGCTTATCACCACGGTCTGATGTTATTTTTATTGAACTGCATATATACACCTGCTTTGTGGACTTTTTACTTGATCTGATACAGCGTTAATTAGTAGACCATTTTCAACCGCTGTTTCTAAACCTCCTCTAGATCGGGGTCAAATAATCCCTCTGAATTGGATACCTTCAAGGGGGAGATTTATGAGCACGGAGCGGTCATCGGGAGAAGGTAATGACGACAAAAAACAACAGAACATGTAAGTAGAATTTTGATATCTGCGGAGTAGTTGTACCAATTTCTCTTGAGCTCTTGTACACTCTCGCGCCTCTATATAAATAACATCAATCCTTCGATGGATCATGGTAAAATACATTCCGATGAAATAAACACCCCCCCTACATTTCAGCATCCTACCTAAATAGATTCCACCCCGTATAATTCGGAGCCATCTGTAGCCGAACAGACATAAACTAACGTCTTGACACACAGCGGCCCAGGATCAAAAACTGCAAGGCTTCTCTCCCGTCTTCCCCTCCCAGTTCACGAAAACATCTACACGATTCCCAATGTCCTAACCTTTTCCCGCCTGGCCGCTGCACCTGTAATTGGATACTGCATCCTCCATTCTTATGACACACTTGCCCTCTCACTCTTTGCCTATGCTTCCATCACGGATCTCGTCGACGGCTACATCGCAAGGAAATTCAACCAGAAAACGGTTGTTGGCACGGTTATTGACCCAATGGCAGATAAAACACTTATGACAATAGGAGTTATCTGTCTAGCTGTCAAGTCTGCTATACCAGGTACGGATTCTAATTCTCCAAAACACTCTATGCTTTCAGACCGTCTAGAAAATAAATATAATATATTGACATGAAAACCTCACAGTGTGGCTCGCCGCACTCATTCTTGCCCGCGACGTCGGATTGGCCATTTCCGCCATATACTACAGATGGATATCTCTGCCACAGCCCAAGACAATGGCAAGATATTGGGACTTTTCTCTCCCATCTGCCGAGGTGAAGCCAACGGCGATATCAAAGGTGAATACGGCTTTGCAGCTTCTCCTGATTGGATCTGCGATGGCCATTCCAGTTGTGCCGGAAGCGATTCTGACTGCTTGGCATTTACACGAAGGAATGACCGGTTTGCAGTAAGTCAAACCTTTCTTTTTCAGACTATTTTAGCAGAAGATTCCAACATCTCTTTCTTGGTCGTTTTCCTTTGTTCAAGTTTTTGTTATCATTTTCATTTTATCTCAACTTACCTTTTCCCTTTTCCCATTCTTTATGATTTTTTTTTCTTCTTTTTTTTTTTTTACCCCACAAGTGGAACGACACCCGCTTGTCGCAATAAATACCCTGTGCAGAAAGGAACAGACACATACGACCACAGGGAGTGGAAAACAGGGCTTCCCGTCCGCTCAGCCGTACTTAAGCCACTCGCCGGCCGGTTAGTAGTTGGGTGGGTGACCACCAGCGAATCCCGGCTGTCGTATGTTTTTAGAGGTAATTTTTCTTACGGATTCCTCTTTTGCATCTCTCAAATGCAGACCTCGATTGTTGTTTCATCTCCTTTCCTTTGACTATTTTTCTTTCATTATTCCCCCTTATCTTCCTTCATTAATCGTTCCAACACTTTTAGATTGAGGCGACCCAAAACATGGTCACGTGCCATTTAACATCCCAACCTTGCACGGTACTTGTCATTCGAACCCAAGATTTGTGTCTCTTTCAATTCCACTTTGATTTATTCCTATATTGACCTTAAGAGAAGGAGATGCAACCATAAATGCGAATAGCTAACCCGCATCCTAAAAAAGATACGTCGTCGCCGGCACCACCATCTGGTCAGGGGCAAGCTACATCTATTCCAAAGATGCAGTTAGGATCCTTACGTCGGAGGAGATTGAAACGAGACTAGCTTTGAAGCAGAAGGAAGAGGAAGAGAAGATTGAGAAGAAATAGCAGCAGGAGTCCTGTTTTTGCTCAGGTGTGTAGAAGTTCGAATTTGTGACCTGCTTCTGGGGAACATGGGTGTTGAATTGCATGGTGATAGGATTTTTATTTTTATTTATTTTTATCTTTGTGTAGCATTTTTGAATTTTGATTGTAGCGCTATATCTATTTGGTTGCGGTGTGTATCTCCTGTTGGCCAGCTTTCCTTTCCATCTTTTGGAGTTCGGGGACTTGTCCATTGTCGCATTACAAAATATATCTATTTGTCTCCATAGGTGCTGGACAAGAACACTCAAAGCATGTCAGACTAAGTGTGAAATATGCTAATGTGATAATTTGCATCATTTCTACAACTACGTACATATATTGAATAGGAAATCTTTCAATTAAACATCATATTTGCAACCTGATATATCTCTAAGGATCCTTTCATCGATCCAATGATACTACTATACATACATAAATCGTCGCTTTGAAAACACCAAAGCAAATATGGGAATCATGTAAACGACACTCACGACGAGTTTAATGCTCTTCCAAATGAAAAATCTAATTACAAGTCTCTAAACTTTCCAAAATGAACCCCAGGCCGTTTTAGCAGAAATTCACAAACACCAAAAAAGGGATGGGAACGCTGTTGGAAAATGTAACAAAAACAAAATGGGAGCCTTACGCATACAACACACATTAACAAAATGCGAGGGATATTCACCGCAGGAGAAAGGATCACATCGAAGACGCAACACGCGTCGCCTCATCCGAGACATCGAGCTCCTCCTCAGCCTTCAAGGACGACTCTCCCCGCCCTTGGCCTTTCCAGTTCCTGCGAACATGCACTAACAACCTCAACGCAGCAACAGGCGTCATCCCCTCAATCCTTCGCGCCATGCCTATGTTCTCTGGCCGGACCCGTTCCAATGCGGCTCTCTCCTCATAACTCAAGCCAACCACTTGCCCATAGTCCATATCAGGCGGGAGCAGCAGAGATTCATCTTTCTCGAAACTGCGCGCTTTGTCTGCGTGGATTTTAATATAAGGTGCATAGCGGCCCTCGATTGCGACGCGGTGTTTTATCTCTGACGTGAAGGATAGGGGCGTATATGTTCTCCCGCTGCCTGATTCGATGTGCGGGATAATGTCGTCTATGGAAGTATCATTTAGACGGAGGAGATCGAAGGCGGACCGGAGATTGTTGTCACCGTGTACGCCGAAGCCCTTGCGCGACCACAGCGCTGACGGGAACTTGGTGTTCTCGAGCAGTGTTCGTAGTTCGGTGATTTGCGCTTCGACTTGGCTGAAGTGGTTCCAGCGTCTATCGCCGACGGCACCGATCTCGCGGCCGCGGGCGGTTAGGCGGAGATCGGCATTATCGGAGCGGGTGGAAATGCGATATTCACTGCGAGCGGTGAACATGCGGTATGGCTCCGAGACGCCTTTGGTGATTAGATCGTCGACCATGATGCCGATGAAGCCGTCTGAGCGGGAGAGGATGAAGGGGGGTTTGGATTGAGAGGCCAAGCCGGCGTTGATACCGGCTAGAATGCCTTGACCTGCGGCTTCTTCATAACCAGTTGTGCCGTTGATCTGACCTGCGAGATAGAGTCCACTGATAAGTTTGGTTTCTAGTGTTGGTCGGAGAGAGCGCGGATCAACATAGTCGTATTCCACCCCGTAGCCGGCTTGGAGCATGTGGGCATTCTCGAGTCCAGGTATTGTGCGAAGTAAAGCAAGTTGGGCATCAGAGGGAATTGTCATGGAGATGCCATTGGGGTAGATAACCTCATTAGGGGCAAATCCCTCTGGCTCTAACCAGACAATGTGTCTTTTTTTATCTTTAAATCGAATAATTTTAGACTCAAGAGAAGGGCAATATCGAGGCCCTTTTACAGTTTCTCGAATATGGACAGATTTGTCAAGGTTGTCCCTGACGATTTGGTGAGATACCTCATTGGTATAAGTAGACCAGCAAGGGAGTTGATCTTCGTCGTTGACAGCTACTCTCTTGTTAAGATATGAAAATGGAACAGGTGGAGAGTCTCCTGGATGGACTTCGAGGTTCGAGAAGTCTATCGACTTCTTTTCTATTCGAGGAGGAGTGCCGGTTTTCAAACGACCAAGCTGGAACCCAGCCTCCCGTAGGGACTTACTCAATCCAAATGTGGCTGCTTCTCCCATCCGACCGGAGGGAAATACGTCGAGTCCAATATGTATTTCGCCACCAAGGAATGTACCTGTAGTAATAACCACTCGTCCGGTCGGTATCACCTCACCAGATTCCAGCCGCACACCAATAATTTTCCCCTGAGATCCCGCCGCTAAACCCTCCCTCGAAAGAATAATATCCCCTACTTTCCCCTCTACAATGCTCAAACCAGGCGTAGTGCTCAATTTCTCCAGCATATGTTTCCGATATAATATGCGATCGATCTGTGCTCTGGGTCCCCAAACAGCCTCTCCTTTCGACCTGTTCAATATCCGAAACTGGATCCCAGCCTTGTCCGCAACGTCACCCGCCAGTCCGTCTAAAGCGTCAATCTCACGTATCATGGTTCCCTTTCCAATTCCTCCGATACTAGGATTGCATGAACAGACCCCAATGTTCGAGCGTGAAGGTGTTACGAGGGCGGTCCGCGCTCCCAATCGCGCCGCAGCGGCGCATGCTTCTGAACCGGCATGACCGCCCCCGATGACAACGACATCATAAGGCCTAAAATTGTCATGTTAGTTAACTGCCAATAAAATAACTTGGAGTCAATAGCGAAACTCACTGCGCATCGCTGCTTACAGTTGCGAAACTTCTGACAACTCGATATGGTTTTGAGCGTGGAATGCCAGCCCAGCGGAGCGTTGCAGAAGACCGCGTTCTCAGGTACATCGCAACCAGGGGGTATCAATGCAGATATCCCACCAATGTCTGATCCATCTGGAGAATTCGCTGTCTTGTTTCCTCTCTATCCTCGTCGTGGTCGTCGTTTGAAAAAATAATCGTAATTATTATGGAGAAATATATAAAATCACGTGATTTACATCTGACGAGGGCTTATTAAGCTGCTCCGGCCAATCATCGCCCGTACAGATGATATTCTGATCCATATAGCAAACGTCACCTCATCCCCTCTTCAATATTCCCCGCTTTACTTATACATCTCTCTAAGTATATCCTGGACAGCCTGTCATCACCATCTCCTTGACTTTCACCAAAATGAAGGCATACTGGTACGATAACCAACCAGTACGTGAACTGATAGCTGCCCCTCCATGCCCACCTGCGGGCCATGCTGTGCTACGCGGAGATATATATCCATCAAATCCAACCCTCAACTAACATTTATTGCGCAGGGTGACCAACGGCTCCCCCACGACTCCGGCCGTGCCGTTGACCCTGCATACCTCGCCACTGTAGGCGTACTCTACCGGCACTTCCCCACCGTAGATGACGTAGACGCCCTGGCCAAGGAACGCGGCTACAAGAACCGTGATGAGATCGTCGTTTCCCCCGAGAAAATGGGTGCGGTGTACGAGGAGAAAGTGAAGATGTTTTTCCACGAGCATCTGCATGAGGATGAGGAGATTCGGTATATACTTGATGGGGAGGGATTTTTTGATGTGCGGAGCAAGGATGATGAGTGGGTACGTATTCGGCTAGGGAAGGGGGATTTGATCATTCTGCCGGCGGGGATTTATCATCGATTTACAACAGATGAGAATAATGTGAGTCCTCACTCTTTTCCCTATGTTAACTGGCTTTTGTGGGTTGGATATATGATGTGGAGAGAGTGTGTGCACATGAATATGGATACGGATATGGATATCGGGCTAACCATATCCCCCATCCGTTTTGAAACGACAGTACGTCAAAGCCATGCGTCTCTTCCAAGACGAACCTAAATGGACTCCTCTAAACCGTGATCCGGAACTCGAAACAAATAAACATCGCAAATCATACGTCGAGACCCTCATTTCCCGTCAACCAGTTGCAACCTGATTAGCAGTTTCTCATTGGTTTGAGATCTTTCCTTTTAAGGCCACAACCCGTGAAATTTCTCTATGAAGGCTCACTGGCATATGAGTGAAAATTTTTGCTTTTCCGGGCTTATTATCCATCGTCATAACAGAGAAATCGACCTGATATCTATTGCCGGTTAAAGTTTTAAGAGATGATTTTTATGCTGCTATTCATTGTATGGCTATGATTTAAAGCGGTTTTCGTGACGAATTATTTATTACTAGGATAGAATTATGATGGGAAATGGGACACTGGGGTGATTTATCTTGAAGTTTATACGGCCATGAGTAATAAGTGAATTTATTTTTGCATTTGGGTAGGAAAAAGATATCAGGTCTTGGGTCAATCAATATGATGATAAATTATTTAGTCGCATCATTGTTGTCACTGCTTAATTTCTCAGAACATATTCAACTCGGCATGCAAAAATGCTCGGATTGAAGTGATGATCAAACTTGACTATTTCATGTCAATTATATTCTTGAATCTGTCCATAAAGTAATAAAACAAGGCAAAGTAACAGGAAATTGTTAGATATATATATGTACAGAGGCCAAGAAAGATGCACATCATGATACTTGCTCGATAGTCAGGCATGATAAATATGAACAAACACACAACACCCAATTCAATGCAAGCAACTGACAATCAGCACATCTCTCCAACTATCTACGCTGCTCATCATATCACGTCTCAGTTACCGTATCCGGCATCGAACCCGGCATTGCAAACTGCTCATTACCACCTCGCCCCCCGTCTCTCCCGCTCTGATTCTGATGGCCACCACAGGCAGCATGCCGAAATCGCAGCGCCTCATACCCCACCTCCCTCCCAGACAAACCCCGATCGATCCCTCTCATACTCCCTCCCCCTCCTCCACCACCACTAACCCCATCGGTCCCCGGAGAGGTCATGACCGGAATCTCAACCGACCCAGACCCTGCCTCCGGCTCTTCCTGACTACTCCGTAACCCAGTCCTACCCATCCGCGGCCAAATATTAGGCAATCCCACTACCTGCACACGCGGCTCTACAACCCGCTCTTCAAACCAGGATTGCACGCGCGCTTCGACGAGCTGCGCTACCTTCGGCACGTCCTGGAGGCGGCTGCGGGAGCCTATGAGGGAGCGGACAGAAAGGTCGAGGCGGTAGTCGGGTAGGAAGGAGAAAGCGAGGCTTGTTTTTGGGATGCCGTGTTTGCTGCTTGCGTCCGTGGTGTTGCTAGTGTTTGCATGGGCATCCTTGGGTCCATCGGGATTTTGAGCGGGGCTTGATTGATCGGAACTTTGGTCGTCGATTGCCTCTGAGGTTGTGTCGTGTGGGGTTGGGATGGGAGACATGGTTTGGTCCGAGGTTCGGGGACCGGGAACGAAGGATATGCAGAGCGTGCCAGAGAAGCGGACGACGGAGACGGCGAGGGCAACGGGGAGGACGGCGGAGAAGGGTTTTGGGTAATTTAGAAGAAGGGAAGTTTCGATTGCAAGGGAGAGGTTGTCGTCACTTAGGTCAACGTCCATGAGCGCCTGTAGGCGTCCACCATCAGAATTGGGGTCCTCGACGGCGATGACGCGGCAGTTGCTAAATATGGGGAATTCCTCGCCCAGGGATATGTCTGTCACTTTGATGATGTCGATGAAAGATGGCTTTTTCTCTGGATTATTGAGTGTTTCGGATAGGGAGGCCAGGATTGAGGATGTGGGAGAGTCCTTAAGGATATAGGCTGTTTGTCGATACTGGGCGATAGTCTGTGCAATCAGAACGTTAAACCAGTCCAGAGACTCCGGCTGGTGGGAGGAGTGGTACAGCCGTGGTCGGCCATGTTTGGGGGTGGGATGTGTAGGCGTAGCACTGTAGTATGTTTTCCTAAGGATGGAGCGGGTATTTGTGGAGGATGAGGGGACGGGGCGGAGTATGTTGGAGGTGGAGGGTTTTTCTCTTAGTAGTCGCGGACTGGAATCTGTAGAGGCTGCATTAATGGAATAGGAACGTGGATGGGTACTGGTCCGATTGGAGAGGCCGCGGGATGGAGGGGGAGGGGCCTCGCCGAATATGAAGAACTTGATAAATGCTCCGATAAGCAGCACTACGGAGAGCTGGCCAACTAGGAGGCCTTGAGTAAAGGAGAGTCTGTGAGGAGAAGTCAGAATAGTTAAAAAGTTCAATACGGGGGAAGGAGACGATACGTACGACGGCTGGGCGGGCGGTAATGGTAGGGTGTGATCTACGCGTACAGGGTTAATCTGGGTCGAGCTAGGAAAATAAGGAGTCTGAAGACTAGCACTTGTAGACCCCGCCATTCTAGCAAGCCAGTAAGGGATATTGTAGATTGTGTGCAGTTCCATATCAATGGGGATTTGGACATCTCATGTTTGTGGCAGTGGAAAACTGAGTTGTCCTTTGTATTGTTGATAATCATTTGTTGGCTTTTGGACGTGATGAGCAGAAATAAAGTTATCAGATCATCTTATCTCTTGGCATCTAATACACGTGATATCTGACTACGTCATTCGATTTCCCCCCACTTTTTTTAATAGCCCAGACGTATTTTTGTTGTTTATTTCTTTCATATATTTATTTGGTTATCATTTGTCCGATACAGTATCGTTTTTATGTTCTTAGCTATCTTATCCCTCATGACGGGAATTGACCCTTTAAGAGTATCTTGCGGGAGAATTCAGTCCAAGAGGCTCTTTGACATCATCTTACTCCGTACTCTTGTCTATTGAAATCCAGTTTTTGATCACCAGGAACATCCACGTTATTCTCCTTCTGGTCTGCAAATTGTCGACTCAGTATCGGACTTATGATCTCTTCTCTTTACTTGTAGGCGCATCTGGAGAGATTCAAGCAGTCAACCTATAAATGTCAACATAGGTCCTCAAACCCGAGGCCAGTTATATATCAGAGGTGCCAAGCGCATCCTATGCTATAGACGGCATAAAATTGAGTTGTTAAAATGCAATACTCGATTCATGTATCTTCTAGTCATCAGTCGGACCAAAAGAGAATCCCCATCGATTTCTTCATATATATATATACAGTAGTCTAGTCCATCCCGTACTAGCCACATCTTACCGCCGTCTTGTAGACCCAAACCCGGTACTCTCCAACGTAGAGGAAGAAGGTGAAAACGACGGACGAGAAGAGCTGCCCCTTGAGCTTTCCGCTCTATTCGACCCCCATCCCCATCCTGATCCCGACCTCGACCCACTTTGTCTCCCCATGGCATACCCTGCCGCACTCCCCGCTGCTGCACCCGTCCAGAAACCAGGCCTCCATGACTCCTGCTTTCTGTATCCCGGATAGTCATATGGAGGCGGTGGATCATTCCATCCGCCCCATCCACCTCCTCCTCCGGGTCCCCATCCCGGTCCCCATCCACCCCACCCCAAGCCACCACCCCTCCTCTGTCCACCACCCCCCCGGCGAACGCCATCAATACAACCCAAAGCCGCCAGCACAATAGCCGCCAGCACCCCGACAAAGAAAACGAAAAACAACAGCTCCCCCAGTAAACGCAACCAGCCACCTCCACCTCCGCTCCAACCCTCAAACCAGCCTCCAGCCACAAGCTTTCCATACTTCGCCTCTCCCCTCTCCGTTAATAACAGCTGATACTCCACCCCACCACTACCCCTAAGCACCCACGGGTCCTTCGCATCCCGATACCCCTCGTAGATAACATCGGTGCTCCCCAGCTTAAACTCCGGCGGCAACTGCGCCGTGCACGTCCACTGGATGTCATTCTCATCGTAGCCGTGGCCTTGGTTTGTGCAGCGCATGACATCGGGAGTGTAGAGCGCACATATCTTTTTCGAAGGGCCGATGCAGGTTAGTTGTTGGATAGCGGGGAGGCGGCGGTGGGTAGTTTTGCGGTTTGCGTAGAGGGTTAGGGATTTGATGGATGAGAGGCGGACAGCGTCTCTGGAGTTGGGGGCTTTGGCGGGGTTATAGGCGTGGGTTTGGGGGAGGGCAAGGAGGAGGATGAGAGGGAAGAGCAGGAAGGAGAGGAGAGTTGGATGGGTGCGCGTCATTTTTAGGAGGTTGGCATAGTTAACTATTGTTTTATCTTATTGTTGGGAGAAGGTGTTGAGCAGATGCGTTGATCTGTAGAATAGGTGTATATAAGTTTACTACTGATGTAAAAGACATGGTTTGAGAACCGAACAGATATATCCATAGATGTGGAGGTTTTAAATTTTATGCACCTCGGCATTAGGCAGACATATAACTAGTTATATTACATAGACACTCAAGGCTAAACTTTGTTGCCAACTATGCAACTTCAAATATTCGCTAGGGTCGACGCCGCCGGGCCGCCTATGAAGCAGCCCTAAGTAGATATTCATACAAATATGGATAACTCACCAATTATCTAAATAGATAGGAACTTCTTTGAATTTCTTTACAACAATAATATTTGTTTACTCATTCTAGTTCCGTGTTGATTCGAAGATATGCAGATGGCAGTCCGGCATAGATTGTGAGAGGGAAAGGGAGTATCACAACTATATGTTCCTTGGAGTATTCCTCACGAAGTTGCAACATTCAATTGCCTCTTCTCTGACCTATATATTTACATTAATATATAGATAAATACGTTGGATGTAAAGAATTGAACATAGGCACAAGTTCAAACTCGAACTCCCTCCATTTTTCTCCCTACGCAGAAACTGTAATATCATCAATCGTCCCAAGAATCTCCTCTGGCCCCCCTCCAAACTTATGCGCGCGCTTCTTCTCCCTGGCCCCATCAGTGCCATTCTCAATACTAGGTAACACATTCAAATCCGACGGCCCAGCTATGTTCGACCCGCCACCAGGATTTCGCATCTGTTCTTCCCGCGCCTCCTTCTCCTTCGCATGCTCGGCCTCAATCCGCTTCTTCTCCTCATCCAGCTCCCTCTCAATAACACGCGGATCATCGTAAACGGTGTTCGTCATTTCAGAATACGTTACCATATCCACCGGTTCTCGCGGTCCCAGCAGCGTCTCCTTGATGCGCTCCGGGTATCGGCGCTCCTCATTAGAGAATTTCAGTTTGATCTGTCGCCGCGAGCGGCCCGGAAACATCTTGCTTATCATCATGAAATCGGTCCCAAACATCCGCAGGCCACGGTAGAAGAGATCGGTCATGTCTGCGTCCCAGGATTCTACCTTTGTTCGCTTGCCGAATGAGGCCGCGTTGATCCTTTTGGTTAGTGGGTTTTCTTCAACTTCTTCCATGTCCCCTTCGTTTCTTGCGGCGTTAGCGTGGCGATCGATTTGTAGAGAGGCGGCATCAACGACGATCTCTCCATTGACAATGCGCATCTGTGGGCCTCCAAGGGAGGCTGCCTCAGCTCGATCCAGATTGCCATCAAGACATCTATCAGCGGACCCGGCTTTGGGCGATTTTGGCCCGTTTCTAATCCGCTCCTCACGCTCCCTTTGTTTTATCGCAAGCTCTGTCAACTCCATATTTTGTAGTTCCATTTCCCGTCTTGATTTTTTCCCTGTGCGTAGATCCCTGCATAAATCTGCCATTTTTACGATGGTAGGCGAAATTTCAATTAACTCCGCATCTTCCGGTGTAGGTTGGCGTTTCCTGCGAGCACGAGGCTTTCTCTGGGTGTCAGCGGCGGTGTCATCTTCTGAAACCTTTTCAGCGGACCGATTCTCTTTTGCTGGGGGTTTGGCAGCCCTTTTTGGAGTACATTTTGCTGCTGTAGGGCCAGCTTGAGGTTCAGATGACTCCGTCTGTTTACCTGCTGTGGCCTGGGGGAGTTCCTGTCGCAGGGGAGATATAGGTCTGGTAACGGGTTTTGCAACAGGCACGGATATCCTGGTGCGTTTTGCTGGTGCTGGTTGTTTCTCGGAAGGCTCTTCTACCCTCAGCCGCTTGGGGCTCCTCGGAGCGCTTTCTGTGGTCAGAGGGGGTTTTTGATTGTCATTTTGTTGCTGTTGCAGGACCGTCGCTGGTGACGCATCTGCTAATGCATCTGGACGGGCAATGCTAGGGCTTGGAGCTGCTTTGGAGGTAGGTGGGCCTGGGGATTGCGATGGAGATGGTGCTGGAGGAGACTGCTGAATGGTCGGGACAGATGGCCTCCATCGAGGAGCCGGGATTGGGATGGCTGTAGATTTGATTTGAGGTCCACGGACGCGTTGTAGTGTAGGTGAATGAGCTTGTGATTCTGCTGGAGGTTCCGGTTGTGACTGTGTTTGTTCTTCTTCTTCTCCTTCTTGTTGTTGTTGTGGCGGTTGTGGGTGAGGTTCGGTGGTTGGTTCTTGAGGCGGGTTACTCTTGGTTGGGGCTGCGGGAGCAACTGCTGTGGAGGATGAAGGAGGCTGGAAAGTTGTCTGTCTGTCAGCGCTAACTCTCCCGGAACCAGCACCGGCCGAAGAAGCGCCAGTACGTCGAACAGGTGCCTTGGGCGCAAACTTCTTCCCCGACTTATCTTGAACACTATTAGCGATGACCCTACGTACGGAGCAATTGCGGACAAGATCCTACTCACTAATCACAGAGCTAGAAAAGGAAACCATAGTCGCAGAATTGGGTATCTAGCTGCAGCATATCATTGTATTCAGATGGCCCAGACAGCTGTATTGGCCCAAGTCTCCTGCTCTGGAGACAATGAAACGCCTTAGAAACTTTGACACTGATAAAGAAAATTAAAGAGGGGAAAGTCGAAGTTGATAAAAATCTGGATCTCGTGACTCAGTGATCTAGCCTGAAACAGATAAGCGGGGGCGTGATCACGTGGATAATTTCACGATGCGCTAATCCGGATTGGGCTGTGACGGATAATCCGCCGGGCCGAAGACTCCCTCTTTCTCTTCGTCAAAACTCTTAGCAACGTCTTCAACTTCTCAAGACGCCACGCTCTGGCTCAACACCAACACTGACCCTCTGCTGCCAGGATACATCTCACATTAAGTTCTTCTTCTCATTCTTTATTCCCGAGTCTGCCAATTCTCTAGTGTGTTGCGGTCTCGTGCTCCTCGTTCCGTGGCTGTTAGGTCGGTGATCGCAAATTCCATGTGCCCCCTTATGCCCTGATGCCGGCCGTCGAAGCGTCAACCGTCCCTTTAGCCGAATCCGGCCTTGTCGTCAAAATGGAAGACCGGAAGAGACCTGCCGCTTATGGTCCTAATGACTCTAGCCCTCCCCTGAAGAAACAGGCTACCTCCCTGAATGGGGCAACTAAACCTCACCCTGACACTGATATGCCCTGGAAGGATGACTTGGAAGTGAGTGGACCGTTTAATTCTGTTCGCCTTGGTTCGCTTTGGTATTCTGCGTTTGTTAGGCATATATATCGACAATATTTGAGACATTGCCAACCAGTGGTCAACATGCTGACGAAATTGTTATGGAAATAGCGCTTTCAAAAAGATGCCATTTGGCGTCAGATGCAAGAATATAAACGTGAAAAGAGCATGTTGGAAGTCAGATTGAAGGAAATATCGAAAACAACAGAGTATCAAAACGACCACCTCCGTATAATCGATGCGTGGTTTAAACAGGTATGGTTTTATTGGCCATCGAGATTATGTCCCGTGACTTCCTATACGCTAACATCGGTCTGTGTAGTTGATCGATGAAGTCCAACTCATGCTCAATGCCCCAAACGAAGAAAATGAAAACCAAGGTCAATTTAAATTCTCCGGTTCGTTGCTCGCTTTATAACTGATACTGATACCCTAAATAGATAATAAACCTTTCCCCAGCGCATTACTTTTCGCAAATCATGAAAACTTTGAAAAACACCTCCAGTCTCGCTCTGACGATATTAAGGCGACTATTTCGAAATTGTTTTCGCGACCCGCAAATGTCTCCGCTGAAGTTGTAGAATTACAAGGCCAGCTCGCCAAAAAGTTGGCAGAAGAGAAAGTCGCAATTGCGGAGTTGGAGAAAACTCTTATGGAGAAGCAACAGCTTGAAGAACGACTAGATGCCGCGTCTCTCAGGTATATGGTTGCTGAAAAGAAAATTGATCGGGCTAGAAGTCTAACTGTAGCGCGCTTGGAAAAACAATATATTCTTGGAGCGCAAAGACCGGTTGGAGACAACTCATCTACCAAAAAAGAAGAAACTTCTTCATCTAATGGTGTGGTCGACCCATCTGATAGAGTTGTAGAGTTAGAGGAAGCCCGTAATAGATCTGCTGCAGTTTCAGAAAAACAGAAGGAACAGTTGGAAAAGCTCGAAGCAGAGAACTCAAGACTGTTAAACCAGGTGACAGAATTGAATATGAAGGTGAGCGTCTGTACTCGTTTTAGGTCGCTTTTCTACATAAATTTAACGGACAAACCAGTTTTCGAATCTATGTGACGACGACTATGCCCATACCGACCTATTTAAACAACTAAAGTCACAACACGAGGACGTCCTCAAGCGAATAAACCATCTAGAGGCAACCAATGTTCAACTCCGTGAAGAAGCAGAAAAATTGCAAGCAGAGAGAACTGCGTATCGACTTCAAATCGAGAACGAGTCCCAAGCCGCTGTCGGAGAAAAAGAAGCCCAGCTTGCCAAAATGGAGTCCGATCTTGCCCGTATCCGAAATGCCCGTGACGAACTTCTTGCAGACCAGCAGATGAGAAAGGCGGCACAGGAACTGGAAAGAACGTCAATTATCCAGACCAAGGAACTATTAGAGGCAAAGGAATCCCGAATCAGTGCATTGGAATCTGAGATAGAGCGACTGCAACTTCAGATCGACGGAGTCAAGGATATTAGTCCCAGTATTGAGGGCTTACCATTAGAAGATTTACGGATCAAGTATCAAACACTGGACAAGCAATACGAAATGCTAAATACGGAGTTGGCTTCAATGCAAACAGCGTTCCGCAAAACCTCCAAGCTTGCTTCGCAAAGGATTGCAGAACTTAACGCGTTTGAAGAGAAGGTTCAGCGGTTGACAGCGGAGAAATCCAAGGCGGACCAAAAGTATTTTGCTGCAATGAAAAGCAAAGAGGCGCGGGATGCTGAACTGCGCTCATTACGGATCCAAAATATGAAAAGTTCAGATATCGTTTCCCAGCTCAAGGACTCGGAAACGATAACGCGTTCCCTGGTATCCAACGTGGAGAAGCAGCTCTCTGAGACGAAGGAGACCCTCACAACCACCCTCTCCCAGTACCACACTGCGCGGCAACAGCTTTCAGAAGCGGATATCGTCATCCAAGGGCTAAATTCCCAGGTCTCAGAGTTGAAAAAGCAGATGCTCACCAAAGATTCGTCCCTCTCATCAGCAACGAGTGCCTGTCGTAAAGCCGAAACTGAAATTGAGGGTCTCAAATCTACCTTAGCCGATACGAAGAAGAGTCTGGAGTCGTGGCGGAATAAAGGTTTGGGTAATTCATCCTCAGAATATGAGATGCTTAGAGTAAGTTTTAATGCGACTTGTGTCCGTAATATGCATACAGGGGCGTAATCACTAATTTTCTCTTTACTTTAATAGTCCCTCGCGTTGTGTACAGTTTGTCGAAGAAATTTCAAAAACACCGTTATCAAAACTTGCGGACATGTCTTCTGCAAAGAATGTGTGGAAGAGCGCCTTACGTCTCGGTCACGAAAATGCCCCAACTGCAACAAATCTTTCGGAAGCAATGACCATATGCATATCACCCTTTAATATCTTTCTTTTGCCTTTCTTGTCCGCACAACAAAGACTTTGATTTCTGCCTACGTTTTCACCATCCAGCAGGCTCTTTCTTCTGTTCTACATTCACCATTTTTCTTTCCTGTACTATAGTTACTGTTCGACGACCCTTTTCTCTTCCAAATTCTACTCGCCCCTTTTTGTTTCACCCTTTGGTAATGTTTGTTTTATTTACTCCTGGTGTCTGTGGTGCCAGTGTTTATTTTCAATCAATCGTCCTAGTGACCTAAATACTCTCTCATATGTTTTTTTGTGTAGGAAAGGAGTACAGAGGGAAGAAAAGAAAAGAGAAAACGGCGTTTTGTAGCCTCACCAACCCGACTGTCACCGTCGTTGATTACATTAAAGTTCAACAGGCTCATGCCTTCGTTTTCTTACGCCTCTTTTTAGCCGCTTCATTGGTCTCATTTTCCCTGTCAAGTAAAAACAAGTTTCCCCCCTTCCCCACAATTTTTTTTTTGAACATTTCACTAAATATCTTATTATAGTGTCGATGGATGGTTGGACTGGATTTATTTATTTGTTCGCCGACTATAGTACTATAGCTGTTGTCGTTTATGTTCTTTGCTTTCGATTTACGCGTTTGCCCCCTGTGATAGCCAATGAGATTTGTATACAGCGGTATGTAGCTAGGTAGATTCCTCATTTGCCAGAGGACTGGCTTTTAACAATACCACCAGGGACCTTCGACGGCATGTATATACTTCAAAGTAGGAAACAAGAAGAGATTTCAGTCACACTCCCTTGCCCAAATAGCCCAATGTGTAAATCTCCAAATACGGTCAAGAGAAGGCTTCGTTGAACATCCCTAAATTATAGCATCCCTCCAACCACTTTTCACACACCGTCTCGCCAACTGCATCACGAATTAAATATACGACTATAAAGCAACTCATGCCTCCCCACCCACAGATCCACAAGTGGCACAACTTGCCCCGCTTCTTCGGGTCTTACATTCCATTGACCCTGTAACCGGTGCTCAATCACCTCCTGCAGCCACCGACTCGCTAACAACCCCTGCGCCTGATAAGGTCCCATCACTGATGCGCGCACGGCGGCGCTTAGCACCGCCTTTGCATGGTTGAGCATGTATACATATGCTGTGGAAGTTATGTCGATGTCCATCGCGACGCAGACGACAGCCCACAGAGGCGGGAGGTGGCCATTTAGTTGGTCGTTGGTGTTGGTGGTGAAGGTTTTCAAAGCCGTGGAAAAGTCATTCAGGGCGGCGTGGGCGGCTGCTTGCGCTTTCGGACTTGTTGATGTGGTTGTGTGGGAGTCGCGAAAGGAGCGCTCCCAGACACCTAGTAGCGCCAGGCCTTGCGCTACGCTTGCGCGGCGTGCGACGGTGCAGGTGGTTGAGGCGTCGAGGTCGTTGTCGAGAGTCTGAAGCTGGAGCGGGTCTCGGTGTGCAGCTAGGAGGTAAGGGAGGGTTGTGCTGGCGATGGAGGAGAGGGAGAGGGAGAGAAATTGGTGGAAGGAGGTTGTGGAGAAGGGCGACGGGGTTGTATTGCGTTGTTGGCTTTGGAGTTTTGTGTGGGCGAGGAAGGACTCTAGGCCGCTGGAATAGGCGAAGGATCCCAGCGGGAGGGCAGAGTCGGAGAGAAGGAGGAGGGAGTGCGGGATTGTGAGAGGCGGGATGGCTATGTTATGTTAGCATGGGATGTCATTTTGTACCGTTTCAATATTGCTCTCATTCTAATGATAAAAGAGATAGGAGAAGTTTACGGATTATTCGTCCGTACCTGGTTGACTTGAGCTGCGCGCTGGGGTTGGAAATCCATTGGCTTCATCTAGCCGCTGCTTGGCATCCTTGAGTTGGCATTCGAGTCTATCTACCTCTTCTTGAATGCTGATAGTCATTGACATGCATCATTGTCCTGTCAAAGCTGCATGTCGATGTATCAGATTGAGATGACGTTGACGATAACCTTCCATTTACAACTAGTTATTGCCGTCTTAGACCGCCATTAATTAGTTAACTAAATTGTTTCCTCACAAAATATTTTACAGCTTGTCACGCTCAATCAATCAATCAATCAATCTACTATGAATAACCCAGAACGTCAAATTGTTTTGTGATAGCTGCATATTAAACATCCACAATGCGGTTGTTACGGTAAATATTTTATAAGTTGCTATTTGTTCACATTGCTATGTCCGGACGGCGTCTACTCGACGCTCTCATATTCCTTAATGCTTCCCGCTCGGTGGCTAGCAAGCACATTGCGCTTCAGAGACGGCAGCTAGATCTTCATATTCGCACATCTTCCCTAACCAAGGAGGCTAAAGTACAACTTGATCGCATTGCCCTTGCGCTTCAGGCGGCCTCGGAACTAGCACGCAAATTTGAAGAGTCTCAGCCGCCCCGGACCGGTTCGTCTGGTTCCGCCGAACGGAATGGTGATAGTCAGCATGGACGGAGAGATGTGAAGGTTGGGGTTCATAAAGACGATAGTGGGGAGAATGTGGAACAGGCTGATATAAAAAAAGGGGCAGAGAATGTAGCCAGTAAATCCAATCAACGGGAATTAAACACACAAGAAAGTGAGGGATCACATCAAAATCAGGTGAAAGGTGCTGCTGGGGGTTTACAGCAGCCCATTGAATCGCAACAAGCATCTAAACCGACTAGGCTATCTGAAAATATTACTAGTCAGAGCGTTGATAGCTCAATGACCACCGATTCTAGCGATGAACCTTCGGAGGCGGTGATACAGCAGCTCTTTCGAAGCCCAAGGGTTTCAAGCGTACTGACGAAAAGGGAGGGATACAATGAAAAACAACATAATAAAGAGTTTTCTCAAGTTAATAGAGCGTCCGTCTCCCGTCCGTCGCCATTGTACGATAGATTAAATACATCAACTTCCCAACCTACAGCATCACCAGCTCTTTCCGAACCTCTCACAGCTCCTGGTGCCGCCAAGGATAGCGTAAAAACACCGGATGGTGACCTTTCGAATGACCCTGGAATTCCACAAGTACGTTTTTACTTCGTTTTGATCCTTATCTGTAGTGTTTTTACTTACTTTGTATCCCAGATAGAATGTGAAAAGATCCGCGAAAAGTCAGCAACCTCTGCATACAGAATGGTTGAATCACCGGTCCCTTCGACACGTTTAGGGAGATTTTGGGAATACGGCGGACTAGCCACTTCGATGGCATTGGGAATCGTTGGACAAAGCATCCGTCAAGCTACTTTCGGGGACGACTCTGGCAGTGGCTCGTTGCTGTTCAGTCCAGAGAACGTGGAGCGTCTCGTCGCTAAGTTATCTAAGATGAGGGGTGCAGCTCTTAAGCTAGGGCAAATGATGAGTTTCCAAGGTGAGCACTGCGTTTGAAAAATATAGCTTTAATAGAAGGCACATTTTGATGATCCCTCTAGATGCGAAAATGCTCCCTCCAGCTATCCACGAAGTTCTGCAGCGTGTGCAAGATAAAGCAAATTATATGCCCATGAAACAGAGAGACCGGGTGCTTGTCGACAACCTGGGTGAGAATTGGCGGGATTTGTTTGATTCGTTTGACGAACTTCCTATGGCGGCTGCTTCTATAGGACAGGTGCATAGGGCAGTGCTCAAAGAGACGGGCAAACCAGTCGCCGTCAAAATTCAATATCCAGGAGTGGCAGACTCGATCGACTCCGACCTTAACAATCTCTCAATTCTTCTCACAGCCTCACGTCTCTTACCCAAAGGACTATTTCTGGACAAAACTATAGCCAACGCCCGAACAGAACTAGCCTGGGAATGCGACTACATCAGAGAAGCCGAGTGCGGCCAACGATTCCGAAACCTACTTCAAGACGACACAACCACCTTTATTATTCCCGCAATTATCCCCTCCGCTTCTGGCAAACAAGTTCTCACCATGGAATACCTCGAAGGCATCCCCGTCACCCGCGCACAAAACTTCACACAAGCCCAGCGAGACTGGATCGGCACACAGATCCTTCGTCTCTCACTACGAGAAATCTGCGAATTCCGCTTCATGCAAACGGATCCAAATTGGACAAATTTCCTTTACAACGCGTCCACCAACAAATTAGAGCTCCTCGACTTTGGCGCTTCGCGCGACTTCCCCGCCTCATTCATCTCCACCTACCTCCGCATCCTGCAGGCCGCATCCCGCAACGACCGCGAAACCTGCCGCGACCTCTCAATCAAGCTGGGCTATCTGACCGGTTTTGAATCAGCAGCTATGGTCAATGCGCATATCACGTCCATTCTCACGCTCTCAGAGCCGTTCATGGCCTCATCCCCTGATGTCTATGATTTTAGTGACCAGACGATTACGGACCGCGTGCGCGAGATGATTCCGCTGATGTTGCGGGAGAGGCTGGCTCCACCTCCGGAGGAGACGTATAGCTTGCATCGGAAGCTTAGTGGGGCGTTTTTGCTTTGTGCTAGGCTTGGGAGTAGGGTGCGGTGCAAGGAGTTGTTTGAGAATGCGTTGGAGAAAGTGGAGTGGGTTGATGATGGAGATTAAGGGCGTGGCGGAAGTGGAGATGGTTGATGGTTTGAGAAAGGGGTTGTGTGAATAGTGTGTATGTATATTTCACAATTTTATTCGTGAAGTTCTACATTTACTGTATCATATAGATAGATATTCTGGGCTGATTTGTTTGCTTTATTTTATCCACTTGTGTCATACAATATCCGCATCCATACATTACGAGTACTGGTCATCCTCCGTCCACAGCGGATTTACTGCTCTTGTACAAAAAGTTCATAGATAATTCTCAATGCCCTCTCAAACGAATATCATATCTGCGCTGTCTATTCCCTGCAATGTCTCGGCCTCCCCACGGTTAGTTAGTTGGTAAGCTCTCCCCATCATCCATCCATCATTGTTCTGAGTCGATCTTTCAAATCCCTAACCAAGATGGAGTCCCTTGCTGCTGTGGAAACGAATACCCTATCTCAGCAAGTACTGGAATACGCATTAAATACTGATGGGCTAGATACCTCAGACACCACAGGCGTGTACGCAGTGGTTTCGTCCTGTTGCAGGTTGGGAAAGGGGTGGGTTTCTACTTCTATTGAGCTTCAACCCCAAACTCACTCAGTCACCTTAATCCTCACAGAACCCCCTCCCACTCCATCCATTAACCCCAACTTTCTTGCTTTTTCATTGCAGGTTCCTTGTTACCTAGCTTAGGGTTGCAGGGGTATTAACTGGAGAGTTTTTCCCGGGTACTAAGCGAGGCAATGCTCTCCGATTTCCTTTCTAGAAGCTATCTGCAATATAGAGCAGACACCGACGCGGTGGCTTCATGGCTTGCAACAACAGCAAGAAAATGCGGCTTTCCAGTCGACCTGCTGACCTTAAGTCCGAAATGCCAGACTCACCAGCAGCAGTCCTCACAACGGTTGAAGGGCAAAACACGAAAGCAAGCCCGTGCAACTGCCGATGATACTGGCGTAACACTCTCGACCCCTGGAGCCTTCAAGCTGCCGACGTTCACCATTGCGGCTAAAGAATTTGTCAGCCTAGCAGCATATGTTGCTGCTGCAACCAGATAGCCTGTCATTGTTTCAGAGAGTTTCGTAACTGTTCTTGAACCGGCCATTTCTACGTGACGGGATCATGGTAAAGATCTCTCCTCTGTGGTTCCAGTATCAAAAAGCTTCAAATGACGGCTGTTAATATTTCATTGAGATCATAGAATGGAACATATTCAGAAGCTTCTACGTCCGCAATTTTCGCGAAATCAAATCAAGGATCCTATAACAGAACCTCTTTCGGGACAGTCAACGCCATTAGCCTACGGACTTGCCAACAAATTCGACAAGCTTGAGGTTGAGGAGCAGTTCCTGAGCCGGGGTATAAACATAGAATTTTCCATCTACTATGTGCTTCTCTTGTGGCAAACGCGGCGATTGACTTGGCGAAGCGGATGTTTGAAGATATCCAGAATCTCCTCGACAAATATGGCAGATTCGGAAAGTTTATAAACGCCACGTACGCTGCCTATTATAAGGAGCGCGACGAGCGCCCGGGTTTTCACGAACAGCCAGTTGACGAGATGAACTTCCACGTCTACAACCAAGGCCGAGCAATGTCTGTACCCGACATATTTGGCGTCGAGGTCGTTAGGCGCCATAGTTCAACCAGACAACGTGCTGCAATACAAGCCTAAATCTTTTGGTACCTACGATCGCGCTATCAACCGATCTAAAAAGAGCGTCAGGGACAAGTTCAATGAAGACAAGATCATATTTCTAGAGATATTGCCTGAATTTCTTAATTTTACTCGAACATGCCCTCTTCAGCCATGGGAAGATGAATTCATGTGTGGCCTGAGGGTGATGTTCGAGAAGCAGGAAATCCCGGCCTGGCTTATTTTTGCAGCCCAAGTTTACCTAGATATCCACCATGTCCTTCGACTTGACATACAGAAAGGATTCAACGACCTCACTGTTTCTGCACTGACAATGCAAGCCTCGGTAAAGGAGAATCTGAAATTCCATACTTCTCTCAGAACCAACGGATGGGGAAGCAGAACGACAAGGTACTTGAGAACTTTGTGGAATTATCCAGCATTGAGTGGTTTCGTAAGCTCTTGAGAAAACTATATCTGCGGTGCAGTATCGATGTGCAACCGTATGGAATTCTATCTTATGTGGTGCATTTGTACAATGCGATTTGCAAAGAAAAGGTCAACAAATATCATTGGAAGGATATGGAAATTATCATGAGTTAACATGATGAGATCTTTGCTGGTGATTGCACCATGCAAGCCGGAGGACTATCACAAACCCTTCGTGCATAATATGGGATTGTCTACTGCATCGCTTGCGCTAAATTCCTTGGCTTGTTAACAAAATCGGAAATCCTGCCCAAAATCATGGGGCACAAAGCAACTGTATCGATGAAGTTCGCAGACCAGCATTGCGATTCGGGTTCGGAAAAGGCGGAATTCACGGAATAAGACCTTGGAAAATTACCTGAAAACTCCAATTGGGAGATAAAGGAGAATTCTGCTGCTGGTCTATGGTGTTTACAAGGCAGTGATAAACGTACTGCGAAAAAGACCAACAAAAGGCCCGATAGCAGTTGTGAAGGGGGACATGGTGGCTGTGGGAAATTCCTCCCATCAAACTTCTAGAAAGCCTCCGTGTCATTTGCTGCGAAGGCCTGAAGCTGAATTTGGACTACATGGCTCTCGACCAGTTTTGCTGGAAGGTCCTTCTCCACGTGAATGAAAGTGCGGGCCCATCGCAATGAAAAGACAATGGGGCTGGTCACTGGCAACATGAAAACCAACACCCCTTTGTTGGGTGGTATATCTTTATGGCTCTGACGGTGGCGGGCCGGCTGGGTAAAGAGCATGCAAATGGTCAGGAGGTGGCGAGTAATCTGCTTATGACTGCTGCGGAAGCGGTTGGTGAGATGGTTTCGGGAAGGAGGTGAGATGGGGATTAAGGCCCTTAGCAAACGCGGGTATCATGCTTTGATTGCGGTAAGGCGACTCCAAGTAATGGATCTGTAATCGGGGCGTACGTGTGAGTTTGGTATTTTCATTTCTGAGGTCGTTCTTTTTCACGTCCAAATACCCATTGCAATGGCTCGTTTGCTTCGCATATCAAGGTACATGGAGTATCTGTTGCCTGCTGTTATACCAACACGCGTTCGGAGGCTATCGTAAATTATATATTTATAGAGAATGTTTACTAGCTATATGCATGAAGAAATGGAGGGCATAATTTATAATTACAGGGAGTAGTAATATGAAACAGCCTGAAGAACATCCAAAACAAACGCACACATAATGCCAATAACGCCTACCCCCAATCACCCTAATCATTCTCGCTATCGTCTTCTTCGAAAATCATCGTCGATAAAAGGTTCTCTCTCCTTCCCTCGGGCTTCATCGCAAGTTCATCTCCTCCATTCCCATACATAGCCTTCCCCTTCCACTTTACAGACCCCAATACATTTGCCGGGTAGATATCCACCCACTCTTGCTTCATCGCGGGTATACGCCGCATACTCCCCATCCTCGTCTTCGAATACAAACCAGACGTATCCGTATTACCACTTTGGGCCTCAACTTCCGCTGCATCCCATTCCCTCATGGATCTTAAATCATCCTTGCCATCGTTGATGCTCAAATTCGGGTGGATTAAATAACTGTCACCAGCCCTCTCAGTCTTGGCGTGGTAGCTTAGATCCTGAATATCCTTCCCACCACTTTTAGAACTGATGCCAAGTACTTGCTGCATATACCTAGATATGAAATGCAAGAATATTCCCGTGGAAATCCCTAGAACGCTAGCAATGCTGAGGAAGATGTATAGGGGCTGGAACTTGGGTTAGTTAATCATGTATATTGTTTCATTTGACGTTGATTATTTCCCGCTCTATGGAGTAACTGGAAGTGGGGAGCATAGGATGCAAGTATTTACCTCGAACTTCAGCAGGAAGCGAACGGGTGATATAATGAAGATATGTAACATATAGAGTCCCACATATATCCAAGGAGCGGCGACGGTCTTCAATACGACCAGCAGGAAATTGGCTTGGAGGGTGAGGGGGTAGGCGATGTAGTACGCCGTAGCAGTGAAGGCTGTTGCCCATGTCATGTTTGAAGCCTTTTTCTCTGTCCCTTTATTGCTTTTGTTGTAATATTACTGTAGGGTATGAAGCGTTTTACTTTCAAATGACGATTCAAATCGGCTTGCGTAGCGCCGGGAATGAATGCGTATACATCCACATGTACGTAGTTTCCTGTAGTTAACCCTACAAAGTTGGCAACCAGACTGGATTTGCGGGGGACTGGATGATCGGTTGAACCAACTAAGTGAGATAGAATGGGGGTTGTATTGCAGTATCTATTCCCCAGTTGAATGACACAGAGTGTAAATAAGATTGAAAGGGAACTGGAAGAGTGACATCATGTGTGCAATCATTCAATCATAATATTGACATGTATACACATAGGATATAGATACCTATACATGAAGCAGTGATTATAGCAACCTGCTCTATCTGAACGGAAGTGTGAGGATGAGGAGGAATGAAGATGATGTCAGCAGTGATCTAATCCTAGTTAATCAGCCGCGGTTTCCCGATTTGGGAAGTCCATCTGATAAGGACTCGGGATCACGTGTCTCCTGATGTGCAATCGAACAGTCACCAACGACCAGTCAACTCTATTCAACGACAGCCTCAACGTCAACATCGACAAATTATTAGCCATAGATCAACTCGGGTCCCTAATGGGCATTAATCCCCCCAGGGTGGTTCATAAATCAACGTCTATATGATTCATCGAACGTAGCAAACACAACCACCTGCCCGCCCCCGCAATGGGGAACACCCCGTCCAAACCCCCTTCTGGCGGGGCAGACTCGACGAATACCACCGCCACCACTAACACAAGCAACTACTCAACCGCAGGATCCCTTTCCAGTGCTCCCAGTGGCAAGCGTGTCAACCGTCGCTCCTCTATCCATGCCCTCTCCGGCACCACAGGCACAGGTAGCAAGTCCACCGCTGCTGATCCCTCCGCTTCCCACGAAAGCGCCACTGGCCACCCTGTCCCGCATCGACAACAACCTCCAGTCCCACAATGGCTACAACAATCCCGTATCCTATCCGAATCCTCGAGATGCGACACTTATCATAGTCAACAACAAAGTGAACAGCAGCAGCAGCAACAAAGAAATGCTCGACGTTTCTACAGAGACAACAACGACCGGCACAATCGCGGATATACCCGCAGCGACAGCGGCCAGCACACCCACCCTGCTCGTCCTAGAGAAACCTCTCCAGAACTTGGCAAGGCCAAGACCAAGGCCGTCCGCGTCCCTGCCAACAACAACTATAACTACAACAGAAGGGCCTACCACCACAACCAGCAACGCAACGACCAATACCCCATCATCGAACCATCGGGTCCAATGCAACATGGCTACTACGGGGCCTCGGCACACCTCTCCCGCCCACCGCGACTGCCACTGCCAATTGGCGATGCGACAACGGCGCCTGGATCACCAATTATAGCGCCATCGTCGTTGGCCGGTGCTGTGCCTGTGTTGGTTGATAAGGGGAAGACAGGCGAGAAAGATTCGGTTGGCTCTGGACTGGGATTGGGATTGGGGGATGAGGAGGAGGAAATGGTTGATGAGTTAGAGGGGGAGGTTGGGGTCATGGATGTTGGAGAAGAGGGGGTTATGGGCATGGGAATGGGTATGGGGGTTGGAGGGGCCGGGGTGAACAAGGCAGTGCCGACGACGATTGAGTGGCGGGGAGGAGGGGAGAAGGTGTATGTTACAGGAACTTTTGTGAACTGGGAGCGGAAGTTCAGATTGCAGAAGAGGTGTGTCTTTTTCTTCTCTTTCATTGTTTCAACTACAGTTCATTGTTCCAGTTACTGGCATTATTATACAAATACTAACAGACATATCTTCTAGTGAAACTGAACCAAACCTACAGACAGCCACCCTCCAACTACGCCCAGGCACCCATCACCTTAAATTTATCGTAGACGGCATTATGAACACATCTGACCTACTCCCAACAGCTGTCGACTTCACAAACCACCTCGTAAACTACATCGAAGTCACACCGGAACTCGAAGAACTTCCCCGCCAGCGCCGCGAAAGTGACCGCGAAAAGTCTCCCAAATACACAATCCCGCCAGGGCTGTACCCCCCACAGGTCCTCCCAGACACGCTCGAGATACATCCGGACCAGGACTCGGAGAGCGACGAGCGTGACCAACGACAGCGGCGACGACAACAACAACGACAGGCCCCGGAGGAAGAGATACCCCTTGGTGACTTTCGGGCGCTGATACCGCCGTTCCTAACTGATATTGATGGGTATGATGAGGAGGGGGATGAGGATGGTAATGGTAATGGTAATGGTAATGGTAATGGGCATCAGGATGGTGGAGAGCATAGCGGAGGCGCTGATGGAAGTGGAAGCGCACGATACCAGCAAGCGGCAAATGTGGTTCGGGATGCACCCACGCCGCCCATGCTGCCACTGTTACTTGGGCGGTCGATATTGAATAGCGCGACACCGATGAAGGATGACAGTAGCGTGTTGAACGTGCCGAATCATACGGTGTTGAATCATTTGGCGACTAGCAGTATCAAGAACGGGGTTTTGGCGACGAGTGTTACAACGAGGTATAAGACAAAGGTGTGTGTGTGTGTATTTGCTGTTTCAATGTCTTTGTCTACCCCATTTCCGCCCTTTGCGGGCTGCTCTTTTCCCTTCCCCGTCTATATGATATGCTAACGTGGGGATAGTGTGTGACCACCATTGTGTATAAGCCGACAGCGGATGTTACGGGATAGGCTTGGAGCTTATAGATCTACTCTTTTCATTTTCCGGGTTGATATTCCCCGAGTGTTCTTCGGTTCTCTTTTTCGCCCGTGACGATTTGGCCATTAATAGTTTTGACGTTCGGTATTTAATTTCTTTTCTATTATTCATGAGGTTCAGGGTTGGGAATTACGATCATCTGGCAGCTGTTGCTGTGCATCTTTTCCCCTCTGCACATGGATGATTTGGTTGTCTTCTCCTTCATGGATTCTTTGTCTCTTGCCTCTTCCAGGATGGTCAGTTGGGTTTGGTGGATGGGGGAAAGACGAATATTAATACTGAAAAAGGTCATTTTCTAGTTCAGTTAACTAATGGGTGTGAGCATGAACTAGTCTATGAGCTAATCAAACGGAGTAGAGAGAAAAAAAAAAAAATTTTCCTGCAGATTCATCAACATTATTCTTCTGACACAAAGTGGGTAAATTAGTTATGTGATATTGTTCACACGAAGTTAATTAGCTTTGACAACCCTTGGGTGCACGTACAGGCCCAGACGGCTGGGTGGCATCAAAGTGGAGAAGGCGGGGTTGTCTTCTTCCGCTGGTAAAAGAGGACTGAACTGTGCTTCTATCCTGTCCAGCTAGCTAATTACTTGAAAACAATCAGACGGTCGTATATTTATCACCCGGGAGATCTCTGTTGCATGGAATATACTGGGCCCCCGCACTTCACCTCAATTTTCTTGCTGCTTGAAGGGTTAGCGGGTTGACCAAGGTTCCAACATAGGATGGATGAGAAATGGCATGCAGTACTAAACCCAACAGTCTTGGCGATCCTTACTTCTTCATACCTTGATGTGGGGGGGTTTTATATAAGAGATTGTTCGCTGGGGGTTGGGTTTAATATTTTAGGGACTTTGACTGGCATGGTTTTTGTCGACGTTGTTGCCAATCGTTGAAGATGGCCACAACGTCGGCTGAAGGATATGGTTTGTGGAGCAAAAAAGGACAAAATAAAGTGAGGTAAAATAAAACAAAATCAATAAAATAAAATCGTAGTTGAAAGACTCGTGCTTAACAACCAGAGAGAGATTTACGTAAATATAAACGCGTTGATTAATGTGTCAGGATGCACCCAGAGTCTGGCAACTGACACAGGCGGCAATTTCCGGGGTTGGCATCTCCCGTAAGGTTATATAATTCCACTGATTACTGGACTTCCAGGTGCAAACTCTATTGCCTGTTGATGAGGTGGAGGAATTTGGCATTTGGCATCGAAGAACCGATGATGTTTGAGAGTGCATCTCGGAGTGAAAAACAGCATATTCAAAGTGGTTAGTTACCTCGCATTGTGGTTGCTCTCTATCTTAACCGCTCCATCTATTGTCGAGTATATTTGGTTCAAATATAGCTAGATGGGGAATCAGAGCTAAACCTAGAGGGCACACATTCGCAGTCATATTCACACTTTCATTCATGGATAGGTTTGGATGTTATTTTTGGATATCGAGATGTTGTACGGAGTACGGCGTTATTCCATCAATGTCCCATCCTGAGGCAACGGTTAAGTTAACGAGTTACTCATTAATAAGTTAGTTACTTACTTTAGCAGCAAGTTTCATTAGTTGATTCTCAAACCCTCCACTCCATCCCCTCTTAATTAACCTCTTCCTCTTGACTCCTTGCGGCCCTAATCTCCCTTGCCCTAACTCACTTAGGCATATAGTCTCCGCCTGAAAAATGTTCTGAGACAGCAGCCCCGCATGATGGAGCGGTGATTGGCTGGCAGATGAAACACAGTCTCCGTTCTGCTGCGGTTGAAACAGGAGACGAGAGCGAAAAGAAGGGAAAAAGAGGAAGAAACAAGCTGGGAGATTTGTGCAGCTGTAGTGGGTTATTTAGTTGGTCGAGAGGGGACTGACTCTTACTCTGTTCTTCTCGGATACCTCTTTGTATTCTCTCCCACAGTCAACCATCCCTACTCTTCTGGAGGCAGAAGAATACAACAAACAAACAAAAACGACGCCGCGAGATGAGGCTGAAAGGGACAAAAGAAACATCTCAACTTCGCAACGTCAACTTCACAACAACCACAACCACAACCACAACCACATCCTCAACAACCACATCCACACCCACATCCACACCCACATCCACCACATCCCCCCCATCCACCGCATCTACCACATCCATATTTACGTCCATATCCACATCATATCCACATCCATATCCATTACCGCTTGGGACTATTTGATTATTGATTATTGATTCTCTCTTGTCTCTCTCCACTCCCTAACTCATTGCTCAGCTACGTCCGTCCACTCTTCCTCTCTCCCAGCCACTCATCCTCAACCGTCCCTCTCGCCCCCCCTCCCCCTCCCCCTCCCCCTCCCCCTCCCCCTCCCCCTCCCCCAGACC